CATTCCCTCTACCCCTCCCCCCCCTCTCATTTCTAGTCAAATCTAGAAATCACTAGATTTCTAACTCATCTTAATTTACAAAACTAATAATTGCGGTTTTCCATGAATGAACTGCTGTGTTGGTGTTCAATCGCCTGTCCTCATGACATTACACCTAATAGTGCTGAATTATAGTAGTCTATTCCCCTCATAATTTGATATGTTGTGATCATGTCCCCTCATTTTCTGATTCTCGGCAATTGACTTGATGTTTAACGCCTTTGAACTTTGCTTGTAGCAAGATTCTATCACCGTATTTCAGTTGCACCTTCAAGATGCTATCACGACTTCACTGTGGAAACCACACCAGGCGGGTCACTTCTGCTAGCACTATCAATGTTACAAGGGAGGGAAATTATATATGTATATATATATATATATATATATATATATATATATATATATATGTATATATATATGTGTGTGTGTGCGCGTGTAAATACGAAGAAATTAACACGTGATGAACAAAGTGACAATGTCAGAATGTCAGATTATGAAGGAAGGATTAAGACAGGAAATTCCTTAAGTACTTTCGCATTTAATAATACATCTTCAGAAGGATCCTTCTGAATGTGCATTATTAAATACGAAAGTACTTAAGGAATTTCCTGTCCGAATCCTTCCTTCGCGATTAGTGTGTGTGTATGTGTGTGTGTGTGTGTGTGTGTGTGTGTGTGTGTGTGTGTGTGTGTGTGTGTGTGTGTGTGTGTGTGTGTGTGTGTGTGTGTGTGTGTGTGTGTGTGTGTGTGTGTGTATGTGTGTGTGTGTGTGTGTGTGTGTGTGTGACACTCCCGGCATAGTAGTATGATGGTAGATGGAATAGTTAATATAGATTTCACGTTTTCTCGGGTATATTTAACTTTATTGATGTTCTTGGTATATAACTTTGTTGAGTGTTTATAAGACATAACAATATCAGCGGTGTCAATAACCAGGTTGTTCAAGCATGACTGCGAAATTCAATTATTTCCTGGTTACAGATGCGGGTCTCACTTGGATCCGCATCAGGAACAGTCCCACAGTTTCAACAGGTTATTATTCTTACAACCAAACACTTTGCGATGGATTTCAGGCGGGAAACATTATACTCTGCGCGAGAACTTTTGTCAATACGTTAAGATAAAACAAGAGACGCTTGACTGGCGTGTACTGATGGGTTTAGACCGCACTGATTTTTGAAAATGGCATAATTGTAAACTAAAATAAATAAGAAAGCAAACCTGCAAAAGATGCAGTAAACGAGTACAAATATTGAGCAACCGACCAACGTTAGCAGATGTGTCCTTACGGCATTCTGCGCCTGGCAATTACTAAGGCTACATATACTCACGGTTCTTGCCCAGGTAAATAAATTACATGGTTTTTTTAGTACTTGAAATTTCTAAAATTATTATATGTTTGTTCATGTAGACATTTATATAGTTAAGTGACTCCCTCAGTCTGAAATTGCGTGCGGTCAGCTTTTGGCGGGAAAAATGGGGTTTGTTTACATCCTGTGGCGGGTCGGTAAGTCTCCGCGGCTAAGCGGTTAAATTCCGTACCAACCTGCTGCTGCTCTGTGCTAACGTGCGAACATTTTTGCCAAACAACGTGTTTGTCTGATGATGAATGCATGGTGTGTGTGTGTGTGTGTGTGTGTGTGTGTGTGTGTGTGTGTGTGTGTGTGTGTGTGTGTGTGTGTGTGTGTGTGTGTGTGTGTGTGTGCTCACCTAAATGTAGTAAATCGGGCGCGCACTCCTGATCTAGCTACGGGTACTAGCTATAGGCTGTCTAATATGACTAACGACCCTCTTGTGGCCTGTAGCGCAGTCGGCTCTCAACCGATTGCAGATTTATGAATCTTACCTTGAAGGCAAGGAAGATTTATCGGCAAGATTTGCCTGATTTATCGGCACGGTAAGACGTCTGGACACGTCTCGTTGCATATGTGTCTTCATCTTGCAGTAAAGAGGTACCTGTAGTTAGGAATCTGTTGTGGGTTGATTCTTATCTTCTCTCTGGTCGATTAAATTTATTAACTACTCATACAATACAAAAGCTACTTCTATCATCCCTGTGACTAATTTGCATTTTAAGTTTCCATAATTGTACCCTTGTTCAACCCTACCTTAAACTGAACATTTTTTTTTATAATATAGATGCCTCTGATAATCTTATGTCGTTATCATGTCTCCTCGATCCCGTCTCTTCAAGTGTGATGACGCTCAGCTCTTTTTAGCCTTTCCTCATAATTCAATCCTCGCAGTTCTGGTTCAAGCCTCGGTATATACGAATGGACCTTTTCTAGTTTGGTGTTAAGCTTCTGATGGCCTTCTTCACTAGGGGCCAGATTCACGAAGCAGTTACGTAAGCACTTACGAACGTGTACATCTTTCCTCAATCTTTGACGGTTTTGGTTACATTTATTACACAGATTACAAGCATGAAAACTTGCCAATCAACTGTTGTTATTGTTATAAACAGCCTCCTGGTGCTTCGGAGCTCCTTAACTGTTTAATAATTGTAAACAAAGCCGCCAAAGATTGAGACAAGATGTTCAGGTTCGTAAGTGTTTGCGTAACTTTTTCGTGAATCTGGCCCTAGGTTCATATTATATTCGTATTATTCTTATATTTAACCTGTTTCACACATGCCAGTGTTGTTCTATATATAAGCCTCTGGGGTTAGGGTAAAGGTTATAAACTCCCAGGGGCCAGATTCACGAAAGCACTTACGCAAGCACTTACGAACGTTTACATCTTTTCTCAATCTTTGGCGGCTTTGTTTCCAATTATTAAACAGTTAATGAGCTCCGAAGCACCAGGAGGCTGTTTATAACAATAACAACAGTTGATTGGCAAGTTTCCATGCTTGTAAACTGTTTAATAAATGTAACCAAAGCCGTCAAAGATTGAGGAAAGATGTACACGTTCGTAAGTGCTTGCGTAACTGCTTCGTGAATCTGGGGTCAGGTCTTTCTCTCTTGCAGTTTCAAGGCGTCTCAACGGATCGTCTCCCTTTTATTTCATACCAATGGGTCTTCTTGACCTCCTCCTCCTATTCTTACTCTCTTGGGGTAAAGTCTAGCTGGAGTGTCTGGTGACATCCGGGAAGCTTGTCCAGGTCCTCCTGAGTCTTGGAACACTCCTCGTGTCTTGTGACACTTCATTACTGTTCCATAAACCGCAAACATTGTTAGAAATGCATCACCTTCCTCTTTCAGGTTATTTGCGGATTTCAGGAATACTGAAACCTGAGTAAAGAGATGAATAGCTTCATCTGCTTACTAAGATGAAGCTAGAATGAATTGATTACAATGAAGCTCAGATTAATAGCTAGAATGAAAGCGGAGTTTGGAATTCATGAATATAAAATTTAAGAACGTAATTCAGAGCTTAACAAAAGTTCATAATTATAATTTCAGCTGAAATAAACTTGAATTTCAGATTAATGAACTAGAGAGAGAGAGAGAGAGAGAGAGAGAGAGAGAGAGACAGAGAGAGAGAGAGAGAGAGAGAGAGAGAGAGAGAACTAGGAACAATACCTGGTGATAAGAGCGAGGGGGGGCACGCCCCCGCCCGCCCCCCACAGTACAGGAACACTACGGGTCCGGTTGGGGCGTCTATATACCGTTAATATCGTGTATATGCAAGACTTTCTATCACGCACGCTTTACGGACACGGACCATGTTCCCGCCTACACCAAAACCAAAGAAATATAAGCCCTGTGGTAGAGAGACATTGGGGTGATCTTTTGTATGTTCAACTTAGTGGGGATGAGTCCCTCTTGCGCGTGTCACTGGTATCGTTCACTTCCAAAACGATGGATTTTTTTGAACGTGAATTTAACATTTCATCAAAATCGGCGCATATTTTAACGTTCAGTTGTGTATTAACAGCTTAATTTTATTTAATTATACAATTATTAAATTTAAAATAGCGCACGAGGGGGTAAATGTGATCCTAAAATATGCTAGACTGTACGAATTTAAATAAAATAATCTTAATGAATAATATTGCATTCATACGCTCTACTTATGAACACATTGCACATGGGGAAATTTATGCATGTCATTTACACACACACACACACACACACACACACACACACACACACACACACACACACACACACACACACACACACGCACACACACACAGACACAAGGCTGAAGGAGCTGAACCTCACATCCCTGGAAAACAGAAGAGTAAGGGGAGACATGATAACCACCTACAAAATTCTCAGGGGAATTGACAGGGTGGACAAAGACAAACTCTTCAGCACGGGTAGGACACGAACAAGGGGACACATGTGGAAACTTAGTACCCAGATGAGCCACAGAGACGTTAGAAAGAATTTTTTCAGCGTGAGAGTAGTTAATAAATGGAATGCACTAGGCAGTGATGTGGTGGAGGCTGACTCCATACACAGTTTCAAATGTAGAAATGATAGAGCCCAGTAGGCTCAGGAATCTGTACACCTGTTGATTGACAGTTGAGAGGCGGGACCAAAGAGCAGAGCTCAACCCCTGCAAGCACAACTAGGTGAATACATATATATTATATATATATGTCACTGGAAATAAGGGCGTATATTACACTAAAATGCTAAGGAAAGAGACCCCTAGTAGTAGTAGTAGTAGTATAGAATGTGGTTGAATTTAGGTAAATATTATACAATTATTGGGCGCCCCTTGTTAGGCGCGCCCAGCCCCCCCCCCCTTGGTGGCCATTGTGCCCCCCCCCCCTGCGTGAACACACTAAACATTTGGAGCAGGTCGGCGGCCTCCACCCAGCGTCCTCACTCACCCTGGGACGACGGTTCGAGCCCACCGTCCTGCTCCAAAAATTTTTTCACAAATATATCATGCTCTTGTAAGATCCTTGTGTATTAACCAAGAGGGTTAAATGATACTGCCGTCTTAGATAAAAATGTTGTTGGCAAAAATTGTAATACATATTTTCCTTGTGTTTTGTTGCAGCATTGGCTCTGTTTACGTGCGCCTCTTGGGCAGACCTGAACGGGGCGGGGCACCTCGGCTTCCACCAATCACTGACTTCCATCCACGATGACGTTACCAAGAGACAGCCAATTGCCGTACGATCCGCGCGCGGCGCCCACTACAGATTTGGCGGGAATGTGGCCTCTGGAAGCTTGTCCAAAGGCAAGGACAGTGCAGGTCACAAGGGCCTCCCTAAGGTCACTACCCAGTTTTATAACGTCACGGAGGTCACTACCCGGGTTAATGGTGCCACGGAGGTCATTGACCCGCTTAGTGACACTACACAAGTCAGTCCCCAAGCAGATGACGTCACGGAAGTCAGTTCCCAAGCAGATGACTTCACGGAGATCAGTCCCCAAGCAGATGACTTCACGGAGATCAGTCCCCAAGCAGATGACTTCACGGAGATCAGTCCCCAAGCAGATGACTTCACGGAAGTCAGTCCCCAAGCAGATGACTTCACGGAAGTCAGTTCCCAAGCAGATGACTTCACGGAGATCAGTCCCCAAGCAGATGACTTCACGGAGATCAGTCCCCAAGCAGATGATTTCACGGAAGTCAGTCCCCAAGCAGATGACTTCACGGAAGTCAGTCCCCAAGCAGATGACTTCACGGAAGTCAGTCCCCAAGCAGATGACTTCACGAAGATCAGTCCCCAAGCAGATGACTTCACGAAGATCAGTCCCCAAGCAGATGACTTCACGGAGATCAGTCCCCAAGCAGATGACTTCACGGAGATCAGTCCCCAAGCAGATGACTTCACGGAGATCAGTCCCCAAGCAGATGACTTCACGGAAGTCAGTCCCCAAGCAGATGACTTCACGGAAGTCAGTTCCCAAGCAGATGACTTCACGGAGATCAGTCCCCAAGCAGATGACTTCACGGAGATCAGTCCCCAAGCAGATGACTTCACGGAGATCAGTCCCCAAGCAGATGATTTCACGGAAGTCAGTCTCCAAGCAGATGACTTCACGGAAGTCAGAACTATGCCGATTGACGTCACTGAAGTCACCATCAATTTTGATGCGGTCATGGAAACTACTGGCCAGCTCAGTGACGTTACGTTAAGTAGCATCTCGTCTATTGAAGAGACATCACTCAATACCGGAGAGACATCAACTAGTAGGCCTACCTTGACCAAAGATGTCACGGAAGATAATATTCAATCTCATAACGCCGATCACATCAGACAAATTAATGACATCGAAGATGTCAGTAATGGCCTTGATGACGTCAGCGCCGTCACCAACGAACACGATGACGTCATCGACGTCACCCGTGTTCATGACGTCACCGCCATCAACACCCACCGTAATGACATCACGGAAACAAGATCTCAACATGGAGGTGCCAATGAAGTCGATGCCCATCCTAATGACATCGAAGCCAGTGACATCACAAGATCCAATATTGGCGAATTTGTGTACATCAGAGAGTCCGCGGGTCAGGCCTCTGCAGGCACTCTGACGCAGGCGAGTGACGTGTTGGACTCTGGCCTGCACTCTGGCCCTCTCACGCACTCCACCGCTCACCCGGGCAACTGGAAGCAAAGTTCGGCAACAGAGGTGGTGGCAAGGGGTAACGGGACAACAGAGGTGGTGGCAAGGGGTAACGGGACAACAGAGGAGGTGGCAGGAGGTCACGGGAGAACAGAGGTGGTGGCAAGGGATAACGGGACAACAGAGGAGGTGGGAGGGGGTCACGGGACAACAGAGGAGGTGGCAGGGGGTCACGGGACAACAGAGGAGGTGGCAGGAGGTCACGAGAGAACAGAGGTGGTGGCAAGGGATAACGGGACAACAGAGGAGGTGGGAGGGGGTCACGGGACAACAGAGGAGGTGGCAGGGGGTCACGGGACAACAGAGGAGGTGGGAGGGGGTCACGGGACAACAGAGGAGGTGGCAGGGGGTCACGGGACAGGGGAGGTGGTGGCAAGGGGTAACGGGACAAGGAAAGTGTCAACAGCGGGTGAAGCAACAGAAGAGAGGGTGCCGGCGGGCGGTGAGACAAGAGAGGGCGTCAGAGCGAGTAAGACATCAATAAGGATAAAAGACACTGCTGGCAGAGGCAGGAAGACAGCAGACAGAGCGCTCAAGACGACACCAAAGGGTCCTTCAACGGAGAGGCCAACCAGCACAGTGATAACGACGCTTACAACGGGGACAGCAGCAGACGACGACACAACGGAGGCAGCAACAGACGACGACACAACGGAGGCGGCAACAGACGACGACACAACGGAGGCGGCAACAGACGACGACACAACGGAGGCAGCAACAGACGACGACACAACGGAGGCAGCAACAGACGACGACACAACGGAGGCAGGCATTACCCTGGACGAGCACGGATTCGTGGTGTCGCTGTGGGAGGAGGAGAAGGTGGATCAGGAGGACGATCTCAGGATCTACGAGGCGGTCGTCACCAGCATGGCGCAGTGGGAACTACACAAGCTGAGCAAGATGAACAGGTGAGTGGTGTGGCTGTGTGGTGTGGCTGTGTGGTGTGGCTGTGGGGTATGGTAGCGTGGCTGTGTGAAGTGTGTGGTATAGCGCGGAGCTGTGTGATAGCTGTACGGGGTGTATAAGCTGCTGTGTAGTGGTGTTGACATGTGCAGTGTTGCAGTGTGGTGTGGGGGGGAAACTTGTGTTACACATACAACATACAATTAATGTAGTGACCCCGTGATGACCTCTGGTGCCCCAGCTGACCTCCGGTGACCCGACAGGAAGCGTGTGAGGCGAGACGAGGAGGTGGTGTGTTACCCGGACCTCGGCTGCTTCAGGGATGAGGGCCCCTTCGACTACCTCGACATGCTTCCCTCTCCACCTGAGGAGGTAAGTGGCCCCCCCTAAGTGGTAAGTGGCCCCTAAGTGGTAAGTGGCCCCTTAAGTGGTAAGTGGCCACTAAGTGGTAAGTGGCCCTTAAGTGGTAAGTGGCCCTTAAGTGGTAAGTGGCCCCCTAAGTGGTAAGTGGCCCCTAAGTGGTAAGTGGCCCTTAAGTGGTAAGTGGCCCCCTAAGTGGTAAGTGGCCCCTAAGTGGTAAGTGGCCCCTAAGTGGTAAGTGGCCCCTAAGTGGTAAGTGACCTCTAAGTGGTAAGTGGCCCCTAAGTGGTAAGTGGCCCCCTAAGTGGTAAGTGGCCCCTAAGTGGTAAGTGGCCCCTAAGTGGTAAGTGGCCCCTAAGTGGTAAGTGACCCCTAAGTGGTAAGTGACCTCTAAGTGGTAAGTGGCCCCTAAGTGGTAAGTGGCCCCTAAGTGGTAAGTGGCCCTTAAGTGGTAAGTGGCCCCCTAAGTGGTAAGTGGCCCCTAAGTGGTAACTGGCCCCCTAAGTGGTAAGTGGCCCCCTAAGTGGTAAGTGGTCCCTAAGTGGTAACTGGCCCCCTAAGTGGTAAGTGGCCCCCTAAGTGGTAAGTGGCCCCCCCTAAGTGGTAAGTGGCCGACCAGGGAATAAGTGGCCGCAGAGTGTGGGTAATTAGATCGGCAAGTGTCACACACACTCTGGAGACCCCCCCCCCTCCACATGACCGGGGGGGGGGGGCAACACCATGACGTCTTGAGGTTATCTTGAGATGATTTCGGGGCTTTTTAGTGTCCCCGCGGCCCGGTCCTCGACCAGGCCTCCACCCCCAGGAAGCAGCCCGTGACAGCTGACTAACACCAAGGTACCTATTTTACTGCTAGGTAACAGGGGCATAGGGTGAAAGAAACTCTGCCCATTGTTTCTCGCCGGCGCCTGGGATCGAACCCAGGACCACAGGATCACAAGTCCAGCGTGCTGTCCGCTCGGCCGACCGGCTCCCTCGTGTTATAGCCCCCCACCTTATACTGAGCGTGTACCCGTAGACGCTCAGAAGGTGTGGGAGAGAGACGGTGGGTGAGGCAGCAGATGGTAAGAGAGAGTATATACTCCACAGATCAACACCAGGTTCCTGCTGTACACCCGGGAGAGAGGCGAGAGGGAGAAGGTGATCAAGCCCCACAACATCTCTACCATCGTCAACTCTCACTTCAACATCTCTCGTCCGACCAAGCTCCTCATCCACGGCTTCGGTTCATCCTGCAACAGTGTGTGGATACGAGAGATGCGGGTGGCTCTTCTCACCATGGTTAGTACCCGCTTATAGCTCATTCATACCCACCCTACTACCAATCAGGTACCCGCTCTATACCCCGTATACCCCAGTATCCACACTTCCACTCTGGTGCACCCACTACTACTAACAGCCCCATGCACTTCCACTCGGGTACATTTCACCATCACTCAGGTACCCGCAATACCACTCTGGTCCAGTCTTCTGTTAGCTCCTGTTTCTCTTCATCCATTGATCCTAGCCCTTAGGGGCTTGAACCCCCCCCCCCTTTCCTGACTACAGATCTAAGTGGTAACTGTTTTATTAAGAATTAAACATTTATTAAAATGTCAGAAAATTATTGGCCTTAGCTCCTGTCCAGAAGTTCCCAATCTTTTACACCTCATTCTTCCTTACACAACCACGTTCTCTCCTGTGGACCCCAACAACCACGTTCTCACCTGTGGACCCCAACAACCGCGTTCTCACCTGTAGACCCATACAACCACGTTGATGGAGCTACCACAAATGAAAGCAGCCATTGCTGCGACACATACAAACATATGTCCCAAGCCTCGGGTTGTTATTCTCTGTTAAAACCGCATGTGAATGATGGCGGACATTCAGTTCAGCACACTCATAAGCAGTTCATATTTTGTTAGAGTACAACACAGTTCATAGTATTACACGGGGTGTATGTACATAGTAAAGTACGTAGTATGGATCCATCGGGGTGTATGGACGTCCGCGGGCCAGATTCACGAAGCAGTTACGCAAATACTTACGAACGTGTACATCTTTCGTCAATCTTCGACGGCTTTGTTTACATTTATTAATCAATTTGCAAGCATGAAAACTTCCCAATCAAGTGTTGTTATTGTTATAAACAGCCTCCTGGTGCTTCGGAGCTCATTAACTGTTTAATAATTGTAAACAAAGCCGCCAAATATTGAGAAAAGATGTACAGGTTCGTCAGTGCTTTCGTGAATCTGGCCCCGCGTGAGGAGCGCGTGCTAGTGTATACATCCCAGGGCGACCCTACACGCCGAAGTGTCTGCACACTACTCCAAAGGTTTCTTATAAATGTGTCGCCTTATTGTGACATCTTTGTCAGATGTGGCGTAAATAGTCCTTGTTGCAGGCGATGAGTCACAATAACGTGGCTGAAGTATGTTGACCAGACCACACACTAGAAGGTGAAGGGACGACGACGTTTCGGTCCGTACTGGACCATCCACAACTGACTTGAGAATGGTCCAGGACGGACCGAAACGTCGTCGTCCCTTCACCTTCTAGTGTGTGGTCTGGTCAACATAGTCCTTGTTGTTCCACTCACTTGTTTCAGACTTTATATTAGATATCATATACCACTCACGTGATAATCACTCACATGCACTTTGTAACACTTTTCCAGCTGATAGGCGTCAATTCAACATATTATATAAGATTAAAGTTTGTAATGAAAAGTAGCGGTGTTGTGTGTGCGTCTTAAATCCATTTCTGAAGAAATAGACCGTAGATTTAAATTAATTTACTAAAATATTTGGTATATTAATTATTAAAATTTTTAATAATTTATTGTATCGGAGGACAGGCAGCCAGTGTATATACATGTTAGGCTTATATCGAGCCCCTCCCCCCTCCCCGCCTTCTCATGATGGAAGTACTGACTCACCCAAGGATGTAACCCCACAACAACCTGACTCCTGGGTACCTACTTATTGCCAGGTGAACAGACGCATTAGGTGATAGCAAACGCATCCAGCCATTTTCGTTCTGGCCGAGATTCAAATCCGGATTTTCTGATTGTGAGTCAAGAACTTGTACGAGAACCTTGTACTTGTATCCCTTCCAAGTGATGCATTATCAGGTGGGGAAAGCGCCAAGCCATTACGACTATGTAGCATTTTGAAGGGGGGTCAGGCTAAAGATTTGGGATAGGACGGGGAGGGGAAAGGAATGGTGCCCAACCACTTGGACGGTCGGGGATTGAACGCCGACCTACATGAAGCGAGACCGTGGCTCTACCGTCCAGCCCAAGTGGTTGAGTAAGGGCAACGCGAGGCGCTGCACCATAACAAGGCTTCCCTCCTCCTGGTTGATACCTGGTTGATACCTGGTTCCCCCACAGATGGACGTCAACATCATCTGCGTCAACTGGCAGAAGGGCGCCGAGGTCCCCAACTACGTGAGGGCCGCCAGCAACACCCGCCTCGTTGGTCGTCAGGTGGGTGGTTGGTGCTTGTTGCACCGTCAGTTACTTACCTCCGTCAACAATAGTGTCTCCAGACACCATTTGGTCCCACTGGCTCCTTCATTAACCGTACAAATATCAAGACTGAATAATGTCCAATATAATGAGACAATAATGAGGGTAGTGTGTGACGAGGGTGTTGCCGCAGGTGGCGCTGCTGCTGGAGACGATGATCGCCAACCTCAACACCACCCTCGACGACTTCCACCTCATCGGCTTCTCGCTGGGCGCCCACGTGTCCGGCCACGCTGGCGCCAGGCTCAAGAACCTCTCCAGGATATCTGGTGAGTGGGGCTCTTGTAGCTCATCACTACTCTGCATGTTGGGGACTCCCAGTACAACCACTCCTCAACTTTTCATTCGTGTCTTCAACACCTTCACGATCTTCATTTTGTACGCCAATCTAATTTCCTTTGACTTCAGGCAATATTAGAAGTCTGGTGGTTGTGATAGTCAATTGATAATAATATTATAGCAATTATGGCATTATTTATTTTCTGATACAGTCAAATATTGTAATGTGCTTTGCCTAAAGGAGTTGTGTGACACACGCAGGTTTGGACCCGGCTGGACCGCTGTTCGAGTCGTACTCGCCGTCTGTGCGTCTCGACTACACTGATGCACGCTTCGTTGACGTCATCCATACCAACGCTGACTCCCTCCTGATGGGAGGTCTTGGAGCCTTCGAGCCCATGGGACACGTTGACTTCTACCCTAATGGTGGGAGGATGCAGAAGGGCTGCGCTAACCTCTTTGTGGGTGGGGTCTCGGACATCTTGTGGCGTGAGTCCTTGTTGTTGTTGTTGCTGCTCTAGAGCGGCCACTTCCCGTATTTCTCCTCATGACTCCTGCCTTCTTCCTTACTTTATCTATTTGTCTTTACGCTATATTCTCATCGCTCTCTTTACCTATGCTGTGTTCTATTAACCTGCATGTTGTATGTGTTGAGTATGTGTGTGTGACACCTTGTTCTTCCTGAACCATCTGGCCCGACTCACCCTGTGTTACACACCTTGTGCTATCATGAGACTTATCCCGTGTGTTATACTCACCATGGAGCAGCTTGTTCCAGACATATCCTGATCATATAACACCCCTAACCTTAACCAACGCCACCACCAGGGCTCGCTCTACACACTCCAGTTTCCTACAGTGCAAAATGATAAAGAGTTTGTTGTTGTTGGGAGCAGAGTGGGAATAATAGGGCAGTGACGTGAAGTACTATGTGAGCACCACGTGTGATCCCGACTCGTCCTTCCCCCACAGCCACCGAGGGCGACGGCCGCTACCTGTGTAACCACCGACGAGGCTACAAGTATTACCTCAACTCAGTAGCACCCATCTGCACCTTCCCGGCCTTCGTCTGTCGAGACTATGAGACCTTCCTCAAGGGCGACTGCTTTCCCTGCGAGTCGTGTGGCAACATGGGCTACTTCTCCGACAAGGCTGAGGGACGTGGTCAGCTCTACCTGGTCACCAGAGACACCGAGCCCTTCTGTGGTGCGTATTGTCCACACACTTGCTTCTGTGAGCACCACATGTACTCAACCACATCCTGCTGGGTATCCACTCAAGTTTGCCTATATTTTGTATGGACATTCAGCTCTTCTGTGGCAGGTACTGAGTTTTTTTCAATCCTGACCTGAGCTCTAGGTATAGCAATTATTGTGGTAGGATCCACGTACATCCATTGTTGTGGTAGGCACCAGGTGCCTACCACAACCATCCTACCACGACCATTACTGTTTTAGGTACTATGTGCATCAACACTGCTCATAAGCAGCAGTTATATCTACACCTGTGGTAGGCATAGTGTATATATAGCCACACCTGTAGTAGGCATAGGGTATATATATATATATCCACACCTGTGGTAGGCATAGGGTATACCGTATATATACATCCACACGTGTAATCAGTGAGTATATGCACTTGTGTGGTACTGAGCCAGTGTATCCACTCACTGCGCGAGAGGTGCCAGAGAAGTCGAGGCGTCGTCATCAAGAATACATAGATACATACATATAATTTCTTCATCAAGGTTAACTACTGTAAACTAAGCACAAGAGTGTTACCGGGAAACAATTGTGTGTATCATTTATTGTGTCACTTGTTGATGTCTTTCCCCTTAGTTTAGTTCATTTATTATGCACCCCATACCCATCTTGTGGGCGGTAGTGGAAAGGGTTACAGAGGCACATAATGGGCTCAGGGACTGAACCCCACAATTCATTTAGCTAAGCAAGTTACAATCTTGATGAGCTAGTTACAAAATTCAGTATAAGTCGTCACATCAACAATGGGTTCGAGATCGACCTCAATCGACCTCTTTCCCCTTGAGCTCAGGTTTGTTATACTGATATTTGGTGTTGTGATCGCGTTGCCAGAAGCGTGTCTTTCCCACAAGACTTCTTGGCATCTACCCAGTGGGCAGTGTGCTCCAGTAACGTCAGATCAACGTTACTTGATCATACCCAACGTTACCCACTGGGATAGTAATTATGGCCCCAAAAGCCTTCAGTCTTTCTCCCCGGACAAAAAGTGCATATGTCTTCAATAACTACCAACCTTGAAGCCTCGATTGCGGGATAGAAATAGCCTAAGATACACTATCCCTTTGAGATGTATTTCTTTCTTGTCTCAATAAACATACTTGAACTTGAAGCCCCGATTACTGCCCTTGTTTACGTATAACTTTGAGTTCTACAAGTAAGGTGTTAACGTGTGTGTGTGTCCGGCAGCTAACCAGTACAAGGTAGCGGTGCACCACTCCGGGGGCCCGCCCGCCGACCCCGTCACCACCTACGGCCGCCTCGACATTACCTTCATCGCTGCCGATGGTATCAACGAGACGCTACAGATTAGTCAGTAAGTGCTTCTTGCAGCGTCTTCATCTTATCTCGCGCTAGTTTGTCTTCTTTGTACGGCTTGGTGCCTTCTTTTGATAATTGTATTTTTTGTAGCGGCGCTAAAAACATAATATGCAGTTACTAATAAAATGCCGTCATGTGACCCCCATACTGACACTGCTTTTTATAGTTTTAAATCCTATGGCTTTCGTCAGTGGCAGGGTATGTGCGAGGCTTTATAGTACCTCTCGTTCTCAATATATATCTCAACTAATTTGTTACCTTTAAAACTTCCCCGAGACCCTGCGTTGGTGGCGTTAAAATAATAGAATGTGCACACCCACACTGGCATGTGATGTGAATAAATCGAGAGGCAATAAATGTTGAGCAACGGCAGCCATTAGCACAACTGGCCGGCCTCTCACCGTGTTGAGGAGCCGTCGCCAGGCCACACCTGGCCATCCCCAGGCCACACCTGGCCATTCCCAGGCCACACCTGGCCATCCCCAGGATTCAATCCCACAATAGTTGCCTAATTCCCTGGTATCTATTTACTGCAAGGTGAACAGAGGCACTAGGTGATAGGAAACGTTTCTAACCATTTGTGCCGCCGGGATTCGAACCCGGGATTCCCGATTGTGAGTCGAGAACGAAGTCGAGTGTACTGTAGGGAAACCCCTAAAAGCCCTGTTTAATAAATGTAACCAAAGCCGTCAAAGATTGATGAAAGATGTACACGTTCGTAAGTGCTTGCGTAAGGGCTTTCGTGAATGTGGCCCCAGGCAACAGGACCTGTTGGCCCATGAGAGGAGCCGCTGGCGTGGGCCAATAGGTCTTCTGTAGCTCATATTATTCTTGGTGTTGCTATAGTGTGTTGAGTTGATGGTGTTGTTGCAGGAGTGAGGACACGGTGATGGAGGCAGGACTGACCACAGTGAGGATCCTGGTGCCTCACCCAGCCATCACTGACATCCACGCCATCCAGCTCCGCTACACCGCCTACCACGGCTGGATATACTCCGGGTTCAACCGCTGGGCCATTGACAAGATTTCTCTGATGGATAGTTTCGGCAAGATGTAAGATATATTACTTCCATCTTCCTTAGTATTATTTGTTCTTTCTCCTAGTCCCTTCTCTCTCTCTGGGCGTGATATTCCTGGAGCATCAGAGTGAGTCAAGAGGCTGCCAGACTACTCTCTTTCTACTTATCCATACGGATTTTCTTTCCGACTTTCCCTCCTGTCATTTTCTAGCTCCATGTTTACCTTGCAGCACTTAACCGCTTTTTACACCTACCAGGCCCGTCTGACGTCAAACTCTCACATTGAGAAGCTAATATCAATATGCTAAGAAACTTTGTCAGGGTAGTAACTATGAACCATAAAAAAAGTCTCCTTTATGGCTACCGGGTAATCTATAAGCCTATAATAGGCTTCCTGACCTTATCATAACCTAGTGTAGTATTGCGTCGTATAGTACAATATAAACTTTGCTACAAATCAACGACCTCCACCCCCACCAGGCTGTCGTTCTGCCACCGGGGAACTACACTGATCTCAGGCAAGGCCATGCACCTCACCCTGCTGCCCGGCGATTGTCAGGTGCGGGACGCTCCCTCCCTCCTGCCCGCCGGCCCCCTACACCTCCCCCACCCGCACATCCAGGTACCTCACACTTTATTGGTATTATTATTATTATTATTATTATTATTATTATTATTATTATTATTATTATTATTATTATTATTATTATTATTATTATTGCATTTATATAAAAATAGGTACAATTGATGCATGATCTAGCGGGGAATTCAAAGGTAAGCAAAATACATTATATAATGCCTCATACGCAGAGCGTTTCGGGCATATCGTGTACATAATATAATTTATTTATAAGTTTAATGGGATTGTAGTTGAAAAGATTTAGTAAATGATTTACAGGCTTAGGTGTCTCAGGTGATATTTAGAATCTGCAGGTTTAAGCAACAGTATAAATCAAGTCAACCGCTATTCATAAATGGCTGTACACTTATCATTGGGAAAGTTTACATAAAAGTAGAGTGCATTAATTACACAAGTCACAATAATAGCAGCACAGTATGGAGATGTTGTCATTATCACTCACAAACTGTATTCGTAACAACATATTCAATTTCTCCCACCCTACCCATCAACATTGGTGTTCCTCAGGGCAGCATACTTGGCCCTCTCCTCTTTCTCATCTACATTAATGACCTTCCAAATGCCTCCCAACACCTCAAACCAATTCTATTTGCTGACGACACAACTTTCATTTACTCCAGTCCTGACTCCCATGCTCGAAATGTCACAGTGAATACTGAGCTAAAAAAAGTCCATCTTTGGCTAACTGCCAACAAACTCACCCTCAACATTGACAAAACTTTCTATATTTTGTTTGGCAATAAATCCTCAAATCAAATAAATCTCAGGATAAATAATACCAAAATTTGTAACAAAATAGATAACAAATTCCTTGGCGTTCTCATTATCCAGAAGCTGAATTTCCAGGGACACATTCTAAATATATCAAAAAAGTTTCAAAAACTGTTGGCATTCTTTCTAAGATCAGATATTATGTGCCTCGCCCTGCCCTGGTGACTCTCTATTACTCCCTCATCTATCCATATCTCAACTATGGTATTTGTGCTTGGGGTTCTACTACCCAAAATCATTTACGTCCTCTAATTACTCAACACAAAGCTGCTATTAGGACAGTATCCAACTCTGGCCCCAGATATCACTCGGTACCCCTACTCAAATCTTTGAATATGTTAGATATTAAGTCACTGCACATCCTCTCATGTGTATTATATATATATAAAACGCTGAACTGTAATGTCAATCCTGACCTTAAAAGCTTCATTGAAGGTTGTAACAGAACCCATGAGCACCACACCAGAAACAAATACCTTTTTGATATTCCAAGAGTACGACTTAATCAAACTAGAAATGCTCTACAAATCATGGGACCCAGAATGTGGAATGACCTTCCCAACCATGTTAAAGACTGTACCTCTCCCAACCAGTTTAAGATAAAAACGAAGCACTACCTAATTAACTCCCTGTAACCTACCTTATCCCTATAATGTCGACCCATGTCTGTTATTTTTAAACAATGCTGTTTGTCGACCAAATTGTATTTTTGCTGTTTTTCTGCCATGTTCCCCCTTTTTTATTTTTATATTTTCTCAACACATTTTATATTTTAATCTCAATTAGTATTAAGTTTTAGTCTCTAGTGTTTTTCCTGCCCGAAACGCTTTGCGTAATAGTGGCTTTAGGCATTGTATGTACTAGCTCTATCTATAAATTCATCAATTTTTGCATCACCCCTTGTATGTATGTACTTTACCTGAATAAACATTTGTATTTGAATTTTGAATTTTGAATATACATATCATTAATAGCGGGACTAGCAGCTGGGCAGCAATCTTGATCAATCCTACATTTTAGGCAAAAAGTATTTTATGTTCTCAATAACAAAAAAACACAGGTTGACGTGTAAGATAAGAAAATGGGGCAAAAATTGACTATATAATGTTAATTATGTGTTTCTTAATATCACTTAAACTGGTTAAGGGATGTACAGTTTAATCTCATTTGGGAGGTCATTCCACAGTTTAGAATCCTTAATTGAAAGGCATTTCTGCTTTGGTTAAGTCGTACTCTTGGAACATCAGATATTTGTTTGGTGTTCAGACAAATATCTGATGTTCCAAGAGTACGACTTAACCCTCGGGTTCAACTCAAGCCCAAGGGTTGTGTTGCTGCCCTCTAGTACACGTTTAAGGTCAGGATAGTGTTTGCACTTCACAGTTTTATACATATAGAGTACACATGAGAGGTGCCCATCACTATGTTTGATAATAATAATACAACTCTACTTATTTATTACTGATATATTGATTTTTCTGATATCATTTGCAACATTAGTTCATTTTATTTTTAATACAAAGATTGTACATTGAATTTAGAGAATAATTATACTTTTCACGTGACAACTAGGCAGGTATATCGATGCAATGTGACGTGTAGCCTAACCTTCATATTCCTCACACTCAGAGTGTGCTTGGTGCTCTACACCAGAGTGAGATAATGCACTCGTGCTTGTGTCTGTTTATGTGTATCTCGCTAAAGTTATTATTTACGAGCTACAACTAATTAATTTATAACCTGAAATGTATTGCTTGAGGAGTTGAGTGAGGGCTGGAGACGCCCACAGGGGCGCTCTTGCTACACTTCTTTTGTCCAGTTTAACACTTAATTAAGACGATCTATTATTCTATGCAGGAGACCGAGAATGAGGTGCATGAGGTGTCTTCACTTCAGCTGGGTGTGACAGCTCATAAAGAGCCTCCTCACAATGCCTCTCTACCTCACAGACCCTTCAACCTCACCCACCACGTCCCACCACCCACACTCTCGCCCACTGATCCCCACGACTCCGTAATAACGCCACATCAACCACCTACATTTGTCTCCAACTCTCAAGTTTCTTCAAACCGTAAAGAAGTTCCTCATGGATTCTACAATGCCTCGAGGCTGAGGCCGCCTCACGCCATCATGCCCAACAAACTTCCCAGCAATTTACCTGGCAAGATACCCATCAAAGCACCCCCCTCAAGGTATGGTGCTGGTGGAAGTGTGGGGACTTCTCCAGTAGCAGCAGCAGCAGGTACAAGACCTGGTGATGTGGCCATGAGCAGTGAGGAGCCGGTGAGTGTCATCCCTGCACCAGACCTGGCTCACCTCCCTTCACCGCATAACTTTTCACAGGGACTTGGTGTGTATAAACATGGAAGTGGACAAGTGCCCAGTACTCCAGGCAACGCTCATACACCTGGAACTGTACAAACCCCAGTTAGTGTACAAACTACAATTAGTGTATATACACCTGTTTATTTACATAGCACTACACCTGTACCAGTCTCCGGTGACCTTAATCATACACAAAATCACTCTGTGGTTATGACTGGTGCTCGACCAATAATTGAGGACAGCTTGACAGTGCCCACGTCACCTGCTATTGCTCTTTTACCCCCTGACCCTCTAATAGTTAGTGCCATCACCCTACCTAATAGAAATAGCATAAATAAAACCTTTTCCATGCAGGTAACTATTGTTTCACCCAACATCACCCTACATTCAAACATCAGTAGTTTGGCCAGTAACATCAAGACACTGGACAGAGATGACAACCAAGCTGACTCTCTGTTGGGCAGTACCAGGAGCCCAGTCACTCCTAAGGGATCAACTCAGTTACCACTTTCAACTCTTGTCATGCCAGACTCTCAACATCGTCAACCTGGTTTTAGCAGTCCACTTCCAGCTGCTGCTGGGACCACCACTACTAGACCACAGTGGTCCAGTATTACTAGATTTTCTGGTGACCATAACACTGATCGTGTTGACAATCTTCACCCTGCACTGTTGGTAAGGTCACCAGGGTCCCACATTCATAATCCATTACCAGTTGCAGCACAGATATCGCAAGCTAAAACAGAATTCAATAAGGACGTTCCTGCAGCCTTGAACACCAACAGCCTGATAGATGGAGAAGTCCCCGAGCGGGAACGTGCCCGTGCTCTTGAACTTGACCCTGAGCCCATCAACGCCATTAATCCTCCCAGTGTGTCACCTGATTGTTCTAGCTCTTCTTGCTCCAGCCACAATGACAAAGAGCGACACACTTCAGTGTCCTCCACACCATACGTCAGTGTTCCAACGCGTGCAAGTAGCTTGGCTCCTCAACAAACACATTTCCAGCGGCAACCTTCCCCAGAAACGTTATCCCGGGTTGACACCCCTCCGAGGCCTCACCTTGGCTATGCAAGCACCCATGTGGAGGATTCTCAGTTCACTGAAACAGAAACTGTATTTGCATCTGCCAGTAACTCTCAGCTGAGATTCCCATCCCCTCCTGAAGACCAGCCCAGACCCCTCATTCATGATGGCCCAGCGAGGGCACCGGTAACTTTTGCCCATTTACCTGCCTCTTTTCTTGACAACCCATTACGTCCACCCCCATTACGTCAGCCACCAGATACCATCATTGGTCGTGGAAGAGCACCTCAACCCACCCTTGATGCACACAGCCAGGATCCTTGGATGTTCAGACACTCACAACACCGCCACCAGGAGTCTCACATGGACCACCACATAGAAAAAATGCAAATCTATGAAGAGCAGCCATCTCAAGAACAATACAAGACAACGCCTCAGTTACAGTACCAGCAGCAGCATCGTCACTCCCAACAACAGCAACACGGCTCACAGCAGTATTACCCTCGACACCATCACCATCACTCACAGCAGCAGCATAATCATGCTGATCACCAGAGTCATCACACAAGATCGCAACAAGTTCAGCAACTCTCAGAACATTCTTTATCCCCGAGCAATATGACACAAATGAACTTGGAGGCGGCTCCTGAGAGACCTGCCCGACCTGTCCCAGCTCCCGCGCCTTTCTATGTCCAGCTTCTTCCTCCAAGTTTTAGTCACTTGCCCCACCTAGAGACGTTTTCACTGCCCCGAGAGTCCAGGAAGGCATCAGAAGCCGCTAATAGGAAGCGAGGTGTAAGTGTGGGCGGTCGAGCTAGCAGAGGCCGGAGCCTGTCATTGCCTGCACCAGGGGGCCGGGCGGCCGTGTTCACCCCGCTGGTGCTGCAGGTGCAGGATGACCACCGAGGCAGATACATTCCCCTCAGACACATCCCAGATGCTTCTCTCCCTACCTAAATAATGTTATTTATTCAACAGTTATAAAAGTCAAATTATACGCCTCCATATTCTGGATGAAACTCTGCACTAAATTTGATACCGGAGGAAAGTCAACGTAAGCACCCTTTAACAGATGAGTATGATACAACCTCATTTATCACTTTAAAATGTTCTTATGTTATATCCATTATTTCAGTAATTTTTCACGTTTCCTTATGAGTCAAATGTGACAGTACAAGAGCACGACAATACTTGTACTTACTCCTGACTGTTGCTGTTTGTGAAGGTCACAACCGAGCCTTCAACTGTGTATAGGTCGCTAGCGTCATCTTTGTTAACCTCTTTGCTCACTCTATGGGTACAAAGTGCCATTTTCTGAGGATGAGAAATATTATTTGTACTATATGAGACCTGCAAGTGTTAGTCTCCCCGAGGTGTGGCGAGGCTTCCCCTTGTTAGGGTGTGAAGAGTCCGCTCACTACTTCTGCTTGCTTATACTGTTTGTTTGGTCTTGCATGCATAAGTCAAGACACGAATGTCTGTGATTATAGACATGTTGATTGTTTTTATTTACGGTTAAAAGCCATTTTTGGAAAAGCAAAATGATGGCACAAAATAATCTTTACAGTTGTTGGGTAATTATCCTCCAGCAGTGAACTTGCAGAGTCTCTGATGAGCAAGTTGGTCCACCGTCTGACGTCCACTCATCACCTGGGTGTAGGCTACTTGCACGTTAAACACATTTATTGTGTTAGGATATAAATATTATTTACTATAAACTACATTTCACATACAGCACCACAGGATGAACTACAGAGTATTTCTGTTGCTACCAGTAATTTAAGAATTTGTAATCAGAGACCAAATTATAGCAGCCTAAGACTTAAATCTTTTCACTATTAAGCCTAATTTAATTATTAACTTAAGATGCAGACGTGAGCTACGTAACACAATTCAAAGAAATGCTTTGTCAAAAATATCAAATATATTTTATATGCAAATGAATTAAATTAAAAACCAGATACTATTGAACTAGGCCCCTCTAAACATGACTTGGACATTAAGGTCACGAGGCTACACCTACCTCAGCACTGGATCAAAAATTCAACCATTGGCATGCAAAATTACAACGAATAATTCATTTTCAATGAACCAGTGATGTGTTTTGCCTTAGTCACAATTCGATTGCTCCAAGTGATTTTCTCATCATGCAAAGTTGTGAGGTTTTAAGCAAAGTTTTAAGCCAGACCCCAAACGTCTGGCTTAAAACACTGGACAGATATATTTTCTGTTATAACCAGTGTTGGAAGGAGGAGTACCTAGCAGTGCTCGGGTACGGCTAGGTACCATTCTCCCTCTCGTTCTCTCTCAGTGGGCAACACAGGGGTCGATCGATCCCTACCACCCTCTGACACTCCCCATACAATCACAATCCATGGAAAGTTGCCTGAGGCTAGCCGAACCTGCCTCGTCTCCGGGCCTAGGACAGACATTTTCTTATTAATAGAGATTTATTAAATGCTCTCTTAGACCTTTACAAAAGTTGTATGATACGCATTTGTATCTTTTTATGACCAATAACTTTTCAGTTACACACACACACACACACACACACACACACACACACACACACACACACACACACACACACACACACACACACACACACACACACAATTACCTGTGCAAGAAGTATGTTTTTTTTTAATTTAAACATACGAAATATATCGTTTTGAATTGTTTATTGCATACTTATTGCATAGGCCAACGTGTGCTTCATTGCTTCTCCCACTACATCATACAATGGATATATTCTCTTTCCCAATATATCTATATAATATTTGTGTTAACTTCAACACCCCCTCTCCTAATTTACACTGTACCAGATTCACATATACCAGATATACGGCAACTATTACACTGTCACATGTATGTGAAGCTTTGACGAGTGTTGCAGCGACGTGTGCTCTAGTGTTGCAGCGACGTGTGCTGTAGTGTTGCAGCGACGTGTGCTCTAGTGTTGCAGCGACGTGTGCTCTAGTGTTGCAGCGACGTGTGCTGTAGTGTTGCAGCGACGTGTGCTCTAGTGTTGCAGCGACGTGTGCTGTAGTGTTGCAGCGACGTGTGCTCTAGTGTTGCAGCGACGTGTGCTCTAGTGTTGCAGCGACGTGTGCTCTAGTGTTGCAGCGACGTGTGCTCTAGTGTTGCAGCGACGTGTGCTCTAGTGTTGCAGCGACGTGTGCTCTAGTGTTGCAGCGACGTGTGCTCTAGTGTTGCAGCGACGTGTGCTCTAGTGTTGCAGCGACGTGTGCTCTAGTGTTGCAAAGATGATTGACAAGGTCTTCCTGTCTTTGTTATTTATTTCTCTTATTACCATCAGCGTTATAAACCTATTATAGCCTATCCTTTATCACTGCCCTTGTCACGAGAAATATTACTCTGCCCCCATTATTTATATGACCCCCACTCTTGTTTGACCCATCCCTCGTCCCCCATTATTTATATGACTCCCACTCTTGTTGTGACCCATCCCTCGTCCCCCATTATTTATATGACCCCACTCTTGTGACCCATCTCTCGTCCTCCCATTATATATGACTTCCCCACTTTTCTTGTAATCCATCTCTCGTCACCCCATGTTTATGTTACTCTCCCACTCTTGTTGTGACCCATTCCTCGTCCCCCATTATTTATGAGTATCATTACCATTGTTGTTATATATCAGTTGCACTATTTATACGGTTGGTGATGTAGCGTAGTGAGCTTAGTGTAATATTTATTGACGTCAGTAAGAGGGTAACAGCGGTGATGTCCACACACCTGGCGGCCCTTCTGCCATGTGATAGTGAGGTCATTAGTGCAGCCATGATGTCAGCCTTTTGTATAACCGGGAAATATGGTATCTCTGTTACATTGTTAAACTGATGTCATATTTCCAGGTCTCTTGTTAACTGTGGATTAATAAAGACTTCACAGACAGTGTTGTTTGGTTAACCTGGAGAGTGTTGGGGTCCCGAGGGAGTTATCCATATCAAGAGACCCAGGGGTTAACATGACTGTGACGTGGTGTTCTTTAAGTTTACTACCTTCACAGTACGATTGATTGACTGAAGATTAGGTCACCCAAGAGGTGGCACGGGCATGAGTAGCCCGTAACAGATTCACAGGACGAATTTTGGGCACAGTAAATTACACCTCACGTGATGAGCATTGGGTGCTCACAGGATGAGTATGGGATGCACAATACTACCATTCACATGGCGAGTTTATGGGGTGCACAGTAAACCAGCGCTCACAGGAAGAGTATCATATACACAATAAACTAAACCCGTGGAACTGCCTACCCGCCGAGGCCGTAAATGCCAAAATATTGCCGCAATTTAAAATCCAAATAATCATCAGAGCAAATTGGGGGCAAGGGGCCTTTGATAAGCCGCCGGCTTCTTGTCCAGATCGAGGCCACTCAGGTTCAAGTTCAAGTATGTTTGAGACAAGAAAAAATACATAAGAACATAAGAACATAAGAACAAAGGTAACTGCAGAAGGCCTATTGGCCCATACGAGGCAGCTCCTATTCTATAACCACCCAATCCCACTCATATACTTGTCCAACCCGCGCTTGAAACAATCGAGGGACCCCACCTCCACCACGTTACGCGGCAATTGGTTCCACAAATCTACAACCCTGTTACTGAACCAGTATTTACCCAAGTCTTTCCTAAATCTAAACTTATCCAATTTATACCCATTGTTTCGTGTTCTGTCCTGTGTTGATACTTTTAATACCCTATTAATATCCCCCTTGTTATGTCCATTCACCCACTTGTAAACCTCTATCATGTCGCCCCTAACTCTTCGCCTTTCCAGTGAATGCAACTTAAGCTTTGTTAATCTTTCTTCATATGAAAGATTTCTAATTTGGGGAATTAACTTAGTCATCCTACGCTGGACACGTTCAAGTGAATTTATATCCATTCTATAATATGGCGACCAAAACTGAACTGCATAATCTAAATGGGGCCTAACTAGAGCAAGATATAGCTTGAGAACCACACCAGGTGTCTTGTTACTAACGCTGCGATTAATAAATCCAAGTGTCCGATTTGCCTTATTACGAACATTTATGCATTGATCCTTTTGTTTTAAATTCTTACTAATCATAACTCCCAGATCCCTTTCGCAATCCGACTTCGCAATCACAACACCATCTAGCTCGTATCTTGTAACTCTATCATCATTACCTAACCTCAGAACTTTACATTTATCAGCATTAAACTGCATCTGCCAATCCTTTGACCATTTCAAAACCCTATCTAGATCAACTTGAAGTGATAGTGAGTCCTCCTCCGAATTAATTTCCCTACCGATTTTCGTATCATCGGCAAATTTGCAAATGTTGCTACTCAAACCTGAATCTAAATCATTTATATATATTATAAACAACAGAGGTCCCAGGACAGAGCCTTGAGGCACTCCACTTACAACATTTTCCCACTCTGACTTGATTCCATTTATACTAACTCTCTGTTTCCTTTGGTATAGCCATGCCCTAATCCAGCTTAATATAGCACCCCCAATACCATGAGACTCTATTTTTTTAATCAGTCTTTCATGTGGCACTGTATCAAAAGCTTTGCTAAAGTCAAGGTATACAACATCGCAATCCTTACCACTATCAACTGCCTCAACAATGCTAGAATAAAAAGATAACAAATTTGTTAAACATGAACGGCCATTTATAAAACCATGTTGCGACTCAATTATTAATTTATGTTTTTCAAGATGAAGACGAATTTTATTTGCTATTATAGATTCGAGTAACTTTACCACAATAGACGTTAGGCTAATTGGTCGATAGTTAGACGCAAGTGATCTATCTCCTTTCTTAAAAACTGGTATCACATTAGCAACTTTCCAAAACTCTGGCACTCTGCCTGACTCTATTGATTTATTAAATATGTTTGACAGTGGGTCACAAAGCTCCTCTTTGCATTCTTTAAGCACCCTAGCAAACACTTCATCCGGCCCTGGGGATTTGTTTGGTTTGAGTTTTACTATTTGTTTAAGAACATCCTCCCTGGTAACTGCTAAACTCGTCAACCTGTCCTCGTCCCCACTCACATAGACTTGTTCGGCTGAAGGCATCAGCCGAAGGCATACATTTCAAAGGGATAGAATAGCTTAGGCTATTTCTAGCCTAAGAGTAGCTTAGGCTATTTCTAGCCTAAGAGTAACTTAAGCTATATTTATGAACTGGCGTTACTCCTGCTTTTTTTAAGGATATACAAATACAAATATTTATTCAGGTAAAGTACATATATACAAGGTGAGATACAAAAGTTGATGGATTTATAGATTGAGCTAGAACATACAATGCCTAAAGCCACTATTACGCAAAGCGTTTCGGGCAGGGAAGCTATGGCACTCCAGAGATTTATTGAACAGCAAAGCTATGGGAGGCACTCTTGTATACCATCGATGGTACTTCACTAATGTTCCCAGCTTTGGTTTTTAGTGAGTGAATGATGGACACAACATCGGTAGGGCTGATCGGTGAGAGGAGAAGAGAGTTTGAGTAGCTGCCTGAAAGCTATGTGGTAACATGTGTCTGGGTCTGTGAGATTTTTCGGGCAAAATTAACACCAATCGATGAAAAGAAGTTATTAAATTCATTTGCTGTTTCAAGATCTGTTGGAGGTGTGTAATCATCCTTGGATGGTTATCCTCGTCTTCCAAGACAATAAAATTACCAAAAACGAGGCAATAGAAGTTAATAAGTTAAGTTTAGTTTTAGTTTAGTTCATTTATTATGCACCCCATACCCATCTTGTGGGCGGTAGTGGAAAGGGTTACAGAGGCACATAATAGGCTCAGGGACTGAACCCCACAATTCATTTAGCTAAGCAAGTTACAATCTTGATGAGCTAGTTACAAAATTTAATATAAGTCGTCACATCAACAATGGGTTCGAGATCGACCACAAGTACAGGTTCTAAATTAAGCAACTGACATATGTGGAGAGCTAGTGTCACAATTGATATGTTTGTCCTGCACGCCGCCCCCCATCCAGTGGGCAGCGGTGGATAGGTTACAATCACTTAGTTACTACCTACAGTTAGCAAACTGGGGATATTTGGCTAAAATTTCTGGCAGCAGATCATTTTGAATGAAATATTGACACATCGCTGGAACATTGGTTATAGAATTGTCTCTGAATTCACGTATCTTTTCGCACTCCATCACATAGTGACGGAGGGTGTGCGAATAATTTAATAATTTTGTTGACACAGTTTACATTTGGTCAGGTCTACATCGGCAGATAATGAGAATTCTCAGAGATACTTGTAACCGAGTCTAAGCCGAGCAGTAGTAACATCTAGAAGTCTGCTGATTTTATTGGATGATCCATAGATGTGGCTCCTCTTGCATGATAGTATGATGATAGATGGAATTACTGGTGTCAATTTCACTTTGCCTCCTACAAGATCTTGTTGAAGTTCTCGGTGTACTGCTGCTCTCAGATTGCTCATTGACAATCCAAGGTTACACTCAATATATCCTTTAAAGGCAGATTCTTTGGCTAACTTATCAGCGCTATCATGCATTCGGAGGCCAACATGAGATGGAGACCACATAAAATGGACTCTGTTACCATCCTTAATAATTTTGTTGTATTTGTGTCTAGCTTCGGACACGAGCATGTTACAAATACAAATACAAAAAATTATAATACATAATAAATAAATGTTTATTCAGGTAATGTACATACATACATACAAGAGATTTTACAAAAATTGATAGATTTATAGATAGAGCTAGTACATACAATGCCTAAAGCCACTATTACGCAAAGCCTTTCGGGCAGGAAAAACATTAATGACTAAAACTTAATACTAATTGAGTATAAAGAATAAAATGTGTTGAGAACAAATAAAAATAGAGATAAAAAAGGGGGGAACATGGCTGAAAAAGCAGCACAAATACAATTAGGTCGACAAACAGCGTTGTTTAAAAAAAAACAGACATGGGTTGACAATGGAGGGGTAAGGTAGGTTACAAGGAATTTATTAGGTAGTGCTTCGTTTTTATCTTAAACTGGTTGAGAGAGGTAAAGTCTTTAACATGATTGGGAAGGTCATTACACATTTTGGGTCCCTTGATTTGTAGAGCATTTCTAGTTTGATTAAGTCGTACTCTTGGAATATCAAAACTGTATTTGTTTCTGGTGTGGTGCTCATGGGTTCTGTTACAACCTTCAATGAAGCTTTTGAGGTCAGGATTGGCATTACAGTTCAGCGTTTTATATATGTATAATACACATGAGAGGATGTGCAGTGACTTAATATCTAACATATTCAGAGATTTGAGTAGGGGTACCGAGTGATGTCTGGGGCCAGAGTTGGATACTGTCCTAATAGCAGCTTTGTGTTGAGTAATTAGAGGACGTAAATGATTTTGGGTAGTAGAACCCCAAGCACAAATACCATAGTTGAGATATGGATAGATGAGGGAGTAATAGAGAGTCACTAGGGCAGGGCGAGGTACATAATATCTGATCTTAGAAAGAATGCCAACAGTTTTTGAAACTTTTTTTTGTATATTTAGAATGTGTCCCTAGAAATTCAGCTTGTGGTCAATGAGAACGCCAGGGAATTTGCCATCTAATTTGTTACAAATTTGGGTATTGTTTATTCTGAGATTTATTTGATTAGAGGATTTATTGCCAAACAGAATATAGAAGTTAAGGGTGAGTTTGTTGGCAATTAAGGGTGAGTTTGTTGGCAATTAGCCAAAGATGGACTTTATTTAGCTCAGTATTTACTGTGGCATTTAGAGCAAGGGGGTCAGGACTGGAGTAAATGAAGGTTGTGTCGTCAGCAAATAGAATTGGTTTGAGGTGTTGGGAGGCATTTGGGAGGTTATTAATATAGATGAGAAAGAGGAGAGGGCCAAGTATGCTCCCCTGGGGAACACCAATGTTGATGGGTAGGGTGGGAGAGATTGAATTATTCACAGAAACATACTGGAGCCTGTCAGTAAGGTAAGACTTTAGGTATTGCAGGGAGTGACCTCTGACTCCATAATGTTGTAATTTAAGAAGAAGGTTTTGGTGGTTGACAGTGTCAAAAGCCTTACGTAGGTCCACAAATAACCCAACAGGGAACTCATTTTTATCAAGAGCTGCATGTATCAAGTTAATCATACAAATAAGTGCATCGTTTTTGGGTCTGAAGCCATATTGACAAGAGCTAAGTATATTGTGTTTTGCTAGATAAGAGTAACGCTGCTTGTAGATAAGTTTTTCAAATATTTTAGACAAGTTTGGCAGAATTGATATAGGTCTGAAGTTGTTAACATCAGTGGGATCACCACATTTGTGGACAGGGGTTACTCTCGCTTTTTTTTTAGAATATCTGGAAAGGTTTGGAATTCAAGTGACTTGTTGAAGAGCAATGCAATGGCAGGAGCTAAAAATCTGGAGGTTTTTTTGTAAATAAGAGTTGGTATCTCCTCAAGGGCACTAGACTTGGTTTTAAGGGAAAGGATTATGTCAGTAACATCAGTGGAATTAGTAGGCATTAGGTACAGAGACTGTGGATAGTTACCTGTAAAATAGTCCTGAGTATTAGTACTGGAAGATGGAATATCATTTGCAAGGGATGACTCAATGGAAAAGAAGAACCTATTGAACTCAAAAGCAGTGTCAGAGGCTGAAAGCAGACTATCATTATTTGACAGGAGTATTGGTTTGTTATATAAAATCTTCTTTGATCCAAATATTTGTGAAATTGTGCTCCAAGTTTTCTTAATGTTGCCCTTTGTGTGGCAGCAAGGCAAATAGTTCGGTTTGAAGGGTAGAGGCCCAGTTGTTTATACGGACTCCCCACTCAAAGTATAAGCCATCTCCCATTGTCAGGACAACTGCACTTCCAGCTGCACCCGTGGTGCGGTGTAGGGAACCATCAGTGTAAATGATTTAAGAGAGAGAATGCTCTGTGGACAGAGCATCAATATGGCTTATATATATACTTTCAAGAGTAAAATTGACTTTAGTTTACTAAAAGAGTGTTTACAACGCTGCACGTACTAGTGGCTTTACAAGAATGTTATTACTATGCTATGTATCCTCACAATCCCAATGTACCTTCTTGTATATATAAAAATAGTTAGTTTAGTTCATTTATTATGCACCCCATACCCATCTTGTGGGCGGTAGTGGAAAGGGTTACAGAGGCACATAATGGGCTCAGGGACTGAACCCCACAATTCATTTAGCTAAGCAACTTACAATCTTGATGAGCTAGTTACAAAATTCAATATAAGTCATCACATCAATATATAAAAATAAATAAATAAAGCGGCATATATGAGGTGAGGTGAGCGCCATCTATTGAGTGTGAGGGGCGGGGAGTGAGGCGCCGCTGGTGTAGTCTCCTGGGCGCCTCACCCGCCGCGACACGCCCAGACCCGCGCCTCCCTCCTCTCACCCACAACATCTCCAGAACAGTGATACACATTTTTTTTTAAAGATGGAGACAGAGCTGCCAACGGAGTATGATGTGATAGTGACTGGCACGGGTGAGTGGGAGCCGGGGCCCGGGAGTTAAGGTTCCACTTCACTCACTCCCATCTTCTAGAAGCTGTGGATGAGAATCCGCCCATCATTCATGTTATGTTTGTTGCTCATGATGATGAGTTTATGAGTGTGAGTGAGTGAGTGTGAGGGAAGATAGAGGGAGGGACGCTGGCCAGGTCTCCTGTTACTTGTACTCCCACACCTGTCATGTGTACTCTACACCTGTCGTGTGTACCCCACACCTGTCATGTGTACCACACACACACCTTCCACTTGCTTGTCCAATCAACACTCTCACAGGATTAATTGCTATCAAGCCTTAACTTTACCGTGCTGGTGCAAAGTGGGGAAACATTTTAAGGACCTCAAAGGACCTTAAGGACGATTAAGGGCCACAGAGCTAACAACACAGCACACCAGGCATGACAGGACAGATCTCGTTAAAACTTTTAAAATACTGAACAAGTTAGAGGATGTTGATCCGAAGAATTTCTTCAAGAAGGTCAGATGTGACGCAGACGAGGAGCAACGGTTTCAATTGGCCCTCGTATGGGCCAATGGCCTTCTGCAGTTCTCATTATTACTACTCTCCCCTACACCTTACTTTCCTCCTCAGCTCTCTCTTGCCTATTTATTGCCTGTCCCTACCTGCCCTCATCACAATCGACTTGAGAATGGTCCAGGACGGACCGAAACGTCGTCGTCCCTTCAACTTCTAGTGTGTGGTCTGGTCAACGGTTTCAAGTTCGATTGCAAAAAAAGTTGTTTACAGATGCTGGGGTTTATTAATTTTTATTAGCATGGTTGAAAGATTGACAGATGATGTGGTTGTCTTGATTTTGTAACATACTGCTTACAATTAGTTCAGGAATGTTTCTAGCATGATCAATTAGTTTAGGAATGTTTCTAGTATCATGCAAAAATTTAGTTTATTTCTGATGTATGCTAAATGCACCACTGAATGATTTGTGATGTAAAAATGTGCTGCGAGTTCAGTTAATATTGACTTTTTTTTTTTCAGGACTAGTGGAGTGCATAGTGGCAGCAGCCTCGGCACGCGTAGGAAAGAAAGTCTTGCACATTGATAAGTAAGTAGACAAGTCAGCCTTGTGCATGTAGCAGACAGTAGACAACTAATTACTTGTTTCTTGACTTGTGCAAATGTAAAACAATTGAAAGTAAAAGGTGGCGGCATTGAACACAGGGTTATGCAGAATGCACACACTAAGTGGACTAAGGCACCTTGCACCACAAGGTCTTCCCTGACCCTCGGCCTCTGCATCACCCTTTGCAGCTATGCTTTTTTGCTAGTATTTAATTTTTTATTAGCCATTTCTTTCATTCACTTGTTTATTTGTATAATTGTCTTGTCATCTACATCCCAGTGCCTCATGGATAATGAAGTAGTTTGGTTACCAGTTGTTAACAAAGAAATGTTGGTACAGTATTTGGTTTTGTGCAAGTATAAATAAGGGAGCATCCTGTCAGAAGCAGGGACCTCATACCTGGCTGGTAGTCTACCATATCTATGTCTATCTTTTAAGGTTGCTTTCATATATTAAAAAAATAAAATGTTTAGAGGGGAGCACTAGGTGTTAGCAGAAAATTTAGTTGTAGTGTGGGGATTAATGCCCATTATGTAAAAAACACACACATATATATACAGGGGTACCTTGATTTAAGAATTTAATCCATTCCTGGAGACAGTTCGTTACCCAAAAATTTTGTAAACCGAAGCGAATTTCCCCATAAGAAATAATGGGAAATGATTTAATTCGTTTCTGACTCCCCAAAAAACTTCACTTCAAAGTAAATTTTTATACGTAATTCACCCAAATCTTCACTACAAAAGTATGTTAAAGTTATTACTAACCTTTGCTGATGACTCCTGTTGGCGTATGGAAGATGGTGAGGAGGGGGGAGGAGGAGAGGCGTTAATGTTTGGGAGGGGAGTCCACTTCCATCATAACATCAGGCAGTGAAGATTTCTCTTGAGTGCACTCGCTGGCACGTTTTGCCAGTGTGCCACTAGGTCCTGGTTGTGGCTCGCTGCTTGATTTTCTCATTTTCTCACAAGGAAACATTCCATTGAAGATTGTTTTTCCCTTCTTTGCAACACTTGTCTGTAGTGAGGCATCACATTATCATTAAAAAGATCAATACTGCATGGATTTCCCATTATTTCCTGCATGGATTTATATTGTTTCCCATTAGATTTCCCAAAAATCCCATACTGCACTCATTTTCTTAATGGGGAAGGAACATTCTCTACTGCCTCCTCTTCCTCCCCTGAAGATTTGTTGTACTGCCTGGCTAGTTCAACAACACGAGTATCATTTTCATGTTTACGAATGATCTCTTGTTTTACCTTTATGGTCATTCTCACATGTGATTTCTTACCTTGAACCTTATCACTGGGTTTCTTGGGACCCATGGCGAGATATATAATAACTTTTATGCTCAAATGGCCAAAAATCCAACAAAAAAAATAAATTCTTGTGAAAAATTCAGGCAGGATAGTCAATGTGCATGAAGCACTTGTAAACTGAGGCGCGATCGCCGTGCCACCACAGCTAGGTCGGCCGTATGCGTATCAACAAACTCGTATCCCGATTCCAATTTTCTGAACAAATCACACAAATTTCCGGGCTCATAACCTGAAAAGTTCGTAAACAGGGACATACGTAACCTGAGGTACCACTGTATATATAATCTATCACAGTACTGTATATACTGTAATATAAATTACAGTATGTAATTATGTAATTACAATAAGTCTCGGTACATATTTACTGTGCAGTCCCTTCATGAAGCAATATTTCATGAAACCCAAAATAATACTGGATTATTAAGCTCATTCTATCTTCCTCTAAGCTAGCATGAGCTTCAGGGAAGGACTAAGAAATTAAAGCTTGTTACTAGTTTATATGCCTTGCACCAGCCTGCAAACATTTGCAGGCTAGTGCAATGCATTATTTACCCCTAATAAACAAATGTGTATCGTTTTCAGAAATGATTACTATGGTGGCCAGTGGGCATCATTCACTTTGAAAGGACTTGAACAGTGGGTTGACGAACATTCAGCATCTCCGCAAGAAACTACAAAAGGTATGCAGAGTTACAATAGTAAACTTTTAGGTAAATATCTAGTTCTGCCTTTTTTCCTTGGGTAGGAACAACATCCAGCTTGATAGTACAATATTAAGGATGTCATATGAGCTCACTTTGCTTGTGTGAATAGTAAACCATAGGGAAGTTATCAAGTGTGTGGAATCATACAAGGGGCAAGACAACTGTGTGGTAAAGAAGTCATTATATTGTCTGTTGTTATGGTATACTGGTGAAAAGATTGCTGAATAAATTTTTAACAATGAGAAATAATTCTGGTTAAATAAAGGGAAAGGGTGTCAAAAATAGGTGGTTTATAATTATGGTATTGTGTGGTGGGGAAGACAGGCAGGCGATAGTTTAACCTTTGGTATGCTCGGTATGTTAGGTGAAGTACAAAGGCATACAGAATCACACTTAATAGGAAGATAAACCTTATTATTTTTCACATAATTAATTGGAAGCATTTTGATCCTTGTGGCATTGTCCCCACCCAAGAATATTGGGGGGAAAAAATGTTGAGGTAAGCATATGCCTGAATTTACACTTGGTGCATTATTGGATGGTTGCCACTTGCATTATTATGGTTGATAATATTTTTGACTCCTGTCAAGACAAGTAATTTCTAAAACTGATAGCCAAAGGAGTTAGGCCAGTGCTCTAAATCTGTGTAGAGTGAATTATGGCAGAGGTGTGTCAGAAGGTGCCGTGAACACAGCAGCATGGAGGAAGGGTAGTAGGGAACCTGAAGGGAACTTACAAAAGCATTTTGGCAATTAGTGAGAAATTTGAATAAAATTTGTTTCTTTTACTCATTTTGTATAAGATTGTTACTTTTTCTTATTTTTAAGCTTATTTATACTGACTTTACCATTCTTTTAGAAGAGCTTGAATCCAAAGAAGGGGAGACGCTAGTGGCAACATGTGATCCTCGACGAGTCTACTCTAAAGTTAAACTAAGGTGGCATGTGCAGTAAGTGAGCGTCATGTGTACCCTCAGGAGCCTCTTCATTGTATAAAATGCTGATTCAAAAAAAATAATTTTTTTTTTTTTTAAAGTTTTAAATACTAAGTATAGTAAAATTCTGCTAATTTGGATTAATTAGGACTAAACCTTGGAAGTGATAAAATATATTTTGTATTTTAAATAGCGATGAAAAACGTTAAAAAAAAAATTTCTCTCCGCTGCTAACGACAAAGCAAATGAGGAATAGCAAGAGTCCCTCTTTCCTATATTTTCCAAATTTGTAGAAAATTGAAGCGAGTCATCATATCCATATTGGATTTTATTATAGCTGGAAATGTGTGTGCAACAGAGATTCAGATTAGCAGGATTTTAAAGTATGTATTCCCTTGTTAGTTAATAATAATTCATTGTGTTGGGAGACGAGCAGACTGTGTGTGTGTGTGCGTGTGTCTAATATAATAGTATAATATAATATTCACATACTGTACATACATGTTATGCTTATATTGAGGTCCCTTCCCCAAAGGTCAAATTACTGACCCTTCCCAGGATGTAACCCCATAAGAAGTTGACTTAACTTTTGGGTTCCTATTTATTGCTAAGTGAATAAGACTAAGTGAATCACCTGCATTAGGTGATACGAAATGCACCCAACCATTTCTGTCCCGCCCGGGATTCAAACCCGGCATTCCCGATTGCGAGTCGAGAATGCACTGGACTGTGTTTTACTTTACTGTACAGTAAAGTATTTAATTACCACGAAGTCTTGTACTACTGTGTCTTGACTGTGGCCATATTGAGTTATTGACCATTTTGGGTGTTAATATGCTAAAGCTATGTTTTCAATTATTTTTTCATCTTTTCCTATATAAAAGTGGAGTTCATTGTACAGTACATACACAGTAGTTTCATTCATCCCCCCCCCCAAAAAAAAAAAAAAAAGAATGAAACCACAAAAATGCTAGAAACTCTTTGAATATACAGTATACCAATAACATATTTAAATGATATTTGTATGTATTTTTTAGAATCAAAATTTAAATGTTTGATTTTATGGGATTGTGCTTGCTTTCTGCAAAAAACAAAAAATCTATTTATTTAGCCTAATATGAGATGCATAATATTTTTAATTTGTTTTCAGGCAATTAAGGATTACACAAACTATAGAACACTGGTAGACATGTTGAAAACTTGCATTATATGTAATAAGCTGCGTAGCCAGATGCTGGCACCCCAAACTTCATTGTATCTGGCCACTGACACCAACAGTTCTCTTTCAAATTAATTGAAAATGGCATAAATGCATGCCAGTCACATACTACCTTTATACTGTATTAATATTGGTGGTTTCCAAGGAATGAGCTACAAAATGTAGAGCGGTGGAGGCCATGTCCTCGGCTCACAATTGAGGGATTCTGGGTAGAACAGAAATAGTTAGACATGGTTTCCTTTCCCCTGATGGCTCTGTTCACCTAGCAGTAAAATAGATATCTGGAAGTTAGGCAGCTTTTGTGGGTTGCATTCTGGGAAAGATCGGCCATTGACCGAGGGAAGGCCTTGATAATCCTAGCAAACGTCTTCTCCCGGACAGTGGGAATTATTATACTGGGTAGGGAAGTCAGTTACAGGCCAGAGCAGTGGGTTGCCCACTGCTCTGTTTTATTTGGGTGCTTAAGTGGAGGGAAGTCTTAACTGTTTTCAATGTTTTGTGTTAAGGAGGTTATTCAACTCCACGAATAGTCTTGTACTGTATTGTCCAGGCTTGTCTCGGGAGGCAGCAAGCTAATGGCTTCATGTCTATGAAGCCATTATTCTTGAATTGAAGATTCTTGAATTGTAAACTTATAAGCCTCTTGTCAATCAAAACATTGTCTGAATATAAAGACTGTTCTTGAATGGTGATTTTACTTGGATGACAAATGAGTGTCTGGTTAAGTTCTTTTCGTAACGTGAATGATTTTTTACTTCAGGAAAGCTGTGACACCCTCTGAAGAAACACCAATTGAAGTACATGGTGAGAGTGGTGGAAACCAGAGTTGTGGAGAAGGTGGTGAGACTACAGATTTAAGTAAAGAAAAGGAAGGGTCATCTGAAACTAAAGATGAAGCCAAAGAACACAAGAAATGGTCACAAGATGAAATGAGGAACCTCTCAAGGAAATTTAATTTAGATCTAGCTCCCAAGGTATGTCTAGAGATAGTGTCCTCTTGATGGCTGTTTTTTGTCTCCTTGATATTTGCATATACGTATGGTCTGATATGAACACTTTTAGACATAAGGGTGCATGCTTTTTTGAATCGCATTGTCACATATGATCAGTGTAAATTCGGTCTCATAGTAGTCAATTCTCCAGCAGCTGTATTGCTAATGAGCAATCTTCTATTACCAGTGTTGCCACTGATCCATCATTTGGTGACTGTAATCAGTCCTTCCACTCCTGTAGATTGGCTTCTATATCCCTTGTTGAATGTCTTCTTTCTTTTGGTGTATTTGGTGCCAATAGCTTCCTTGTGGCATTCTTGACATAAACAAAATGTTCTTTTCCCATCAATATATTTTTTCTGTTAAGTAAATCTGTTATGTTATTTACTATTAACCATTGTAGTACTTGTTAACGTGAGTCTTGAACAAATAATTCCCGAGATTTGTGTATTACATCCTGTAATGTTTTCCTCCGTTGTCGAATGGCTACAGCTTTTAGGGCTTAACTTGTGTTTTGAAGACCAGAAGCATGGATGAATAATTCGGATTTATGCATTTAACATTTTTTTTTTCAGATGTAGTGCATCAAAGAGGATTAATGAATCAATTTGAGGATATAGTACATTGGTATTAATTGTTGAATGTTGTCAAATTGCAGTGTGTCACGTAGTCTGTTAGATTTGGCCAAAGGAATTTATAGTTGGATGTGACATATCTTTTGAATATCAATAAAATTGTGGATATTAATACCAGTGTCTTGTTTTGCAGCTGCTATATTCGCGTGGTGCTCTGGTTGAACTTCTCATCTCTTCCAATGTAGCAAGGTAAGAATTGTTTGTGGTTTTGTACTAGTTTGAGAATAGATAAATTTATAATTATATAAAGCATGTTACAAAGATTTCTTGGTATCAGCTATACCGTTTATAATTGCTAATTCCTGAGAAAATATTTAATTTGTATGATGGGATTGAACCCGCATCCCTGAACTCTCAGGCACCTGTACTATCAACTGGACCATGCATGTGCCTATAGAGTCCACGGACGCAGGTTTGATCCCATTGTATGGCTTGAATATTTTCTGATAAACAGTATCATGTATTATTATTTCATTGTACAGTGCTCATTCCTCTTTGTATTGCAGCCTTTCTTCTCTCTAATGTTCAGTTCACTCCATAATTTATAGTTTTTTCTTGATTTATCTTCATAATATGTAAGCAATCCTTTGATTTTCTTTTTAATGCTGGCGTACAAATTTTAGAATTGCTTGAGCTGCAATAACCTTGTAATGATAGGCAGGTTTTGATAACAAATTGAAAACTACTTTCAGTGATTCAGTGCTTGAAATTTCCAGGTATGCGGAGTTCAAATGTATCACTCGTGTGCTGACATGGGTGGCAACGGAAGGAGACAAGGGCAACTTGCTGGTTGTCCCGTGCTCCCGCAGTGACGTCTTCACCACAGACACTGTCACCCTGGTTGAGAAGAGGCTTCTTATGAAGTTTTTGGAGTTTTGTCACAGTTATGATGAACATCCTGAGCAACTAGAAGGTAAAGTTTGCCAGTTTTTGGAGTTTTGTCACAGTTATGATGAACATCCTGAGCAACTAGAAGGTAAAGTTTGCCAGTTTTTGGAGTTTTGTCACAGTTATGATGAACATCCTGAGCAACTAGAAGGTAAAGTTTGCCAGTTTTTAGCATTTTATTACAGTATTGCCTGGTCAGTTATTTTCTCCAAAGAAACATTTTGCTTTGGAGACAGTTTCATGTGGAGGTATCATGTTCTCGGTTTATAAAGCGGCAAATGGTATTCCTATGGATGATTTGCAAGGTGATATTAGTTATGTATTCCCCTTGGATACATTATAGTCTTAGTTATTTTGTACATCCAAAATATGCAGTCTGAAATGTATGGCAGAGGATGAATAAGCATAGTTCTTCCTGCATTTTTCATCCCCCTGATGCCAGAGGATGGCGATAATACTGCACCCTTGGTACTGCACCCTTGGATGCTGTGCACTATTAGAAATTACACATTTCTGAGCCAAGATTCTTTTGATGTTCACTAAGCCAGCGGCTTAATTGGCAACCTAGAGCTTATATTTCCTGTTGGGCTTTTTTTTTTTTTTTTTTTTTTTTTACTTTCCCCTACCTTGGCAGTAAACTTTTTCTACATGGCCATGGCTTGAGAATTTATTGAAGGAAGACAGTTATGAGTAACTCGGCCATCACTGAGGGACAATAACAAAAACAAGCGACACTTCTCAAAACCTCTGCAAGTAATAATGAGAAATGTAGGGAATCCCATTTATTGCTTTTATTAGCTGCAAGTTAATAAATGGTTCCCTCAACCACCTCTATGGCAGTACAGTATTGGCTGAATATTATCTTGAGTTTACACTTTACAGTCAACTCTTTGTATAACATGTGTTTACACACTGCATTTTTTCCCCATAATGCTGAGCTTCTCGTCATACACAGTTGAGGGATTGTTTCAATTGTTTCTTTGCATGATTGTGACAACTGTTACCTTGAGGTGCTTCCTTGTCTTTTGTCTTTTCAAGTTTTGTTTATTAGGCAGGGCTGGAAGCCGGCACATTTAGCAAATTACCCCATTCCCCTTCCTAGTCTATGATATTCATGAACTCCTCTTTTCAGAATATGCTGACAAGACATTTGTCGAATTCCTCAAGTCCCGCAAGCTCACCGACAATCTAATTCACTTTGTCACGGAGTCTATCGCTATGGTATCTGGAGAAGTGTCGTGCAGAGAAGGACTAGAGAGCATGAAACTGTTCCTCACCAGTCTGGGACGTTATGGAACGACACCTTTCCTCTTCTCTATGTACGGGTGTGGGGAACTTCCCCAGGCTTTCTGCAGGTATAGAATACTTGTAGTGATGTATTTATTATGGTGTGTAAGGTTGAACACATGTATACATTTATACAGTATGTGCAGGTATGGAATACTTGTAGTGATGTATTTATTATGGTGTGTAAGATTGAACAAATGTATACATTTATACAGTATGTGACACTTGATAAGGACTGGTGCACACCTGGTCTTACAAACCAGCTTAAAAGGATAGGCTAAAAGAACTGATCCAATTATAACGAAGAGAAGGGGAACGGAAGCTGTATGATGTGGGTATGGGTTAATATTACTTTTTATATTTTACTCTCTAAACAGGTTTTCAGTTTAAAATAACTGAAAGTTGTATTTTTTATAGCATTGTTGGTATAGGGAAAACTTGAGTCTGTGATGAAACACTGTACCTCAAAAATAAGCTTATGCTTTCAATCTTATCGTTTTGTGACTTATTTTAAAAATTATCTTGAATTTAACTGTTTTATTTTTTATTATTTTAAGATTATGTGCAGTATTTGAAGGGACTTACATCTTGCGACGGCCAGTGTTGTCTCTTGTCACTGACTCTGAAAACAAGTGCCTTGGTATAGTGTCTGAGGGTCAGCGCTTGCAGTGTTCCCACCTGGTGATGGACGCCTCGTGTGCACCTCACAAGTACACCGCCATCGCCAGTTTAGCCGCTCAGAAGAGTATATCACGAAGCATATTTATTACCGACAGGTAATTATTACACACAAGAATGTTTTGGTGGTTTTTGTGACAAACATTGCTGGTATAGATAGCAATCATTGTTACTGCATCATATTAATTAGATATTTTTTTTATATTCTTAAGGTCCATCTTATCAAGTGATAAAGAACAATTAACTCTACTGCGACTCCCTGCTAAAGATGGCAACCCTCAGCCAATCACCATCATTGAAGTTGGGTCTGGCTCTGGGATTTGTCCAAAGAATCTGTGTAAGTTGTGTGTGTTTATTATAAAAATATGTAATGGGAGGTGTTTGTTAAAGTTCCTGCAGGGTTTGTTAAGTTAGCATAATAATAATAGTGCAGTAAAACAGATTGCTCAAGTTGCCTTTGAACGCACTGGATGGGGAAAATAAAAAGTGGATACCTTCATGTTACTATATTTCAATACTATTATTTAGTTGCATTCATACTAAAGTTCAACTTTGCCGTCTTTGGTGCTACATAGTCCCCCTGGCCTGGCGCCGCCTTTTGATAATTACTTACTTGGCCATCTTCGTTTTTGTCACCAGAATATGACTATTTCAGTGCAAGTTTTCAATGTGTTCTTTTTTCTCTTACCTTCCATATTTCTTCTTCTCGTGTTGTTGCTTGTGTGCACTTGCAGAGGACAGTCCTAATGTATTTACCACATTCTTGTTTCTCAAAACACGCAAGTAGCAACTTCTTCACTTAGCTAAATCAGAATGCAGAACTCTTTGATTAATGTTTTGGATGTTTCTCGGTTTTATACTCTTGAAGGTATTTGAAATGCATGTGTGTACATGTGGCCAGCTATTCGAAGTTCAGAGTTTCTAGGCAATAGTGGGGAGTGGAGTAATGAGTAGGGTAGTTAGTGTATTAATAACATGACACTTATTGACTTTATTATATTTATTTTTAAAGCATAATAATGTGTAATTGTTGTAGCATTACTTTTTGTGATGTCACAAGATAAGTTAATTATCAGGGTGAGAGCAGCAAGTTATTTCAGCTATATAGCACCACTAAAGCAACCTATGTTATAAGAGATAGTTAATAAAACCTGGCTGGTCAAGTAATGGGCACCTTTTTCACAGTACTACTCTATACCTGTTTAACTTTTTTTAGAAGTATAATAATTTTAATAGCATTAACACTAATATTTTAACAAGAATTCCTTGGTAAACAGACTGTGTTCATATGACTTGTCACGGGTCTGATGCCGAGGAGGACTTTAAGGTTGCTGTCAAACGGCTATTTGGTAATGGTGAAGACCCAGACAAACCAAGTATTCTCATGAGCTTGTACTTCAACTTGGTGAGTTGGCTGCTGGAGAGTTTATATCTGTAGATATAATAGTGAATCTGGAGACTTTCCTGGTGGGTGTTGTGTGGTAAGATATTTGCAAGAGATGGCTACTATTGAAAGTACAGTATGTGAGAAGTATTTGGTGTATATGACATAAACTAAAGTAGATGGTTAAGTCAATAAAGTGAGTGGTGATATATATATATAGCTTGTGGAATGTTGTTGAATGCACTTAGCTTATATTTGTAAAATGGAATACAGTATTTGGAAGACTTTAATAATTAACCAATTTGATAGCAGTGTGGGAGTAAACAAAGCTGTGTAATATCCCATCATTCATTTTACACTATATATTTGGGGTAACTGAGGTGGTCAAGGATGGAATGAATGGAGCAAATAGTAGTTTATAATACAAAGAAATGAAGGGTAGTTTATCAACTTTTACGTATGTAAATGGTAGTTCAAGTATAGTGTGATGAGAAAGAAGAAGAAAGTGTTTTAGTGTGAGAAAATTCTTAAGAGTGGATGTAAATAAAATACAAGTACAATAGACAGGAGGGAGGGAGGGAGCCGGTCGGCCGAGCGGACAGCACGCTGGACTTGTGATCCTGTGGTCCTGGGTTCGATCCCAGGTGCCAGCGAGAAACATTGGGCAAAGTTTCTTTCACCCTGTGCCCCTGTTACCTAGCAGTAAAATAGGTACCTGGGTGTTAGTCAGCTGTCACGGGCTGCTTCCTGGGGGTGGAGGCCTGGTCGAGGATCGGGCTGCGAGGACACTAAAAAGCCCCGAAATCATCTCAAGATAACCTCAAGATAAGGAAACTGTATGGAATTTGAGTAAGGAGAGACGTGCTAGACCTTATTTACCTGGGGAGCAGGGTGGTCAGCAGGAGGAATTTGCAAAGATAAAAGTAGTGTTACAGAAGAAATGTGGCTGGTGAAATGAGGCTTAGTTGGGAAGAGTAAGACAAGAAGAGATGAATTTAGTGAGTTTGATGGAGTGAGTGGTAGTGCCAACACTTGACTCGCATGTTAGTATGCCATTGGTATGGCATGGTTAGTATGCCATAGTATGCATCTTGAGGTTATCTTGAGATGATTTCGGGGCCTTTTAGTGTCCCCGCGGCCCGGTTCTCGACCAGGCCTCCACCCCCAGGAAGCAGCCCGTGACAGCTGACTAACACCCAAGTACCTATTTTACTGCTAGGTAACAGGGGCATAGGGTGAAAGAAACTGTGCCCATTGTTTCTCGCCGGCGCCTGGGATCAAACCCAGGACCACAGGATCACAACTCCAGCGTGCTGTCCGCTCGGCCGACCGGCTCCCTCCCTTTGCATAGACAAAATATGGGATGCTTTAGTCATGTTAAACAAATAGATGACGAGTTGTGACAAGTCAAGTGAATTTTAGGGTGAGAGAGAGTTGAACATGATGATATTTTCTTGCTCATCACAATTAGCAGCTTTTTGACACATCTGGGGAGCTTATTAAAGATGAAGACTGCTCTTCATGCTGCTGCTTGTAGTTAGAAATTGACCAATGAATATTTATAGCCATGAAACTGTTGAATGACTGATACTGTTATTTATGAAGTTTTCAATTAAAAATGGATGTTATGATACTAGTACAGTGTATGTAACATTTCTTTTTAGGCTGATTTATCTGGTTGTGATTTGGTGAGTGGTGCCGCAAGCAACTTGCACCTCTGCTGTGGACCAGGTGCTGAGCTCGACTATGATTCTGCCATTGACCAGGTAAGTTTATCTGAACTTTAAAAAAGTATTGTGGGTTCAATGGCACCGAGACTCCAAGAGTGAACTACAAGGGAGGCATGAATTGTGGTTAAAATGGAGGCCAAATCATACAAAACCCCAGGAGAGGCAAAGAGAGTAAAAGGCCATCAGTGAAATAGAGAGAAATCCAAAATATTTTTTCTCCTATGCAAAATAAAGATAAAAAACTACATCTAGTTTTGGGCCCCTCCCTGCAAAAGGGAGATGGAACTTTCACCGATGCCAACAAAGAAATGAGCAAGATACTGAGGATACTGTATGACTCTTGTTTTCAGCGAGCCACTAAACACACTAAAGATCGATAACCCAAATGAATTTTTCACGGATGTGATACCAACACCAAATCATATATCAGACATCACCCCTATTCCCACTGGATTTTGAAGAAGCTATAAACAGTATGCCTATGCACTCTGCACCAGGCCCTGATTCTTGGAACTACATATTCATAAAGAACTAAAAAAAACACTTGCAGGCCCTTCACATTCTTTGGAGTCAAAGCCTAGATACTGGCTGTTACGGCCACTTAGGACCAGTAACCGGGTTCTTGATGGATGAACTTGTGTGGCATCCGACCCTGAGTCGGTAGTGGTTTTCAAGGAATTGGCCAGATAATGCACGAATAATAACAAGGGGGGTATGAACAAAACACTTGTTTCCTTCACCAATATATTTACCATCACCATAAATTGATATATATATAAATGGAATTTACTACTTACACTATTATACTTAGGAGCCGGTGACTGAGCGGACAGAACATTGGACGCATGATCCTGGGTTTGATCCCAGGTGCTGGTGAGAAACAATGGGCAAAGTTTCTTTCATCCTGATGCCCCTGTTACCTAGCAGTAAATAGGTACCTGGGAGTTAGTCTGATCGATCGATAGTCTGATAATAGCAGACTTCTGATCAGTGGCGGCTTACTTAGTCGTCTGGCGAGACTAAGTCTGGAGAGCTTAGGCTGCCCAAGGTAAACTGCCATCCTCAGTACCACTGCTGCCCCGCGTCACCTCTGTGGACACAAACACGTCATCAGTTGTTGGACAGTACTGGTGAAATCAAGAATTAACACTTATTCACTGGGGACGTTGACATAGTGCTCTGTGGCACAACCTAGATGGCGCTGACCTTGAGTCGCCACCTCACCAGAGGTCATCCACAATGACCTCACTGGCTTGCCAAGGCAGGAATCTTGAGCCATTTGCAGGTATCACGCCGCCACCAATAGATGGTGGTGTCTACGTAGCGTCCAATTCCAGAGGTGTTTGAGTGCAGACCCATAGATGGCACTGGAATTGCCAGGTCACACTCAGACGATGGTGACGGGTCCGTAACACTGGCATTATCCCCGACATACTAAAAACAGCAGATAGCACCACTCCATAAAGGAGGAAATAAGGCAGAGGCAAAAAATTACAGACCGATAGCACTAACATCGCACATCATAAAAATCTTTGAGAGAGTGCTTAGAAGTAAGATCACAAAATATATGGAATCACAGCATCTCCATAACCCCGGACAGCATGGTTTCAGAACAGGGTACTCTTGCCTGTCACAGTTGCTGGACCATGATGACATGGCATTAAATGCCATGGAAGACAAACAAAATGCTGATGTAATTTACACAGATTTCGCAGAAGCTTTTGACAAATGTGACCATGGTGTCATTGCACATAAAATGCGTTCAAAAGGAATTACCGGAAAAATAGGCAGATGGATCTACAATTTCCTGACTAACAGAGCCCAATGTGTAATAGTCAATAAAAAAATCTGGTCCATCAACCGTGAAGAGCTCAGTCCCCCAGGGTACCATGCTTGCTCCAGTACTTTTTCTCATCCTCCTATCGGATATAAACAAGGACAATCTATAGCACCGTATCATCCTTTGCAGATGACACTAGGATTTTCATAAGAGTAGACAACATAGAGGACACGGCATACCTCCAATCAGATGTAAATCAGGTTTTTCTATGAGCTACAGAAAATAATATGGTGTTTAATGAAGATAAGTTTCAGCTCATGCGCTACGGAAAAAATTAAAATGTAAAAATGGAAATCACGTACAAAACTGGTCAAATCATAACAGAACGAAAAGGCAATGTAAAGGATTTGGGTGTACTCATGTCAGAAAACCTTACCTTTAAAGAACACAATAAAGTAGCCGTCACAACTGCAAGAAAAATGACAGGTTGGATAACAAGAACCTTTCACACTAATGATGCTATACCGATGATACTTTACAAGATGCTTGTGCGCTTTAGAGTGGAGTACTGCTGCACAATGACAGCCCCTTTCAAAGCTGGAGAAATTGCTGACCTGGAGAGCGTGCAGAGATCCTTTACTGCTAGAATCCACTCAATAAAACATCTAAACTATTGGGACTGACTGAAATGCCTCCTAAATCTGTATTCCCTTGAGCGCAGGTGGGAGAGATACATAATAATTTACACGTGGAAAATAGAGGGGCTGATCCCAAACCTGCACACAGAAATAACATCACATGAGACCAGAAGGCATGGCAGGATGTGCAGAATACCCCCGTTGAAAAGCGGAGGTGCAACAGGTATTCAGAGAGAGAACAATATCAACATCAGAGACCCGAGAATGTTCAACACCTCCAGAAGGATACCCTCCAAAGGATACTTGGTCAACCAGGCTGTGATTCATCATCAGGCTGCGAGCAGCTGCATGCAACAGCCTGGTTAACCAGTTCAGCAACAAGGAGGCCTGGTCGACAACCGGGCCGTGGGGACGCTAAGCCCCAGAAACACCTCAAGGTAACCTAAAGGTAGCTCTCTGTGAAGGATTTATTGCCTTTGCTTAGCAAGGACTGATAAAATTAGTGCGAAAGAACCTGTGTTTGCATACCGAGGTTTGTGGTATAAAATTACTTTTTGACTTTCACAGAGATGTCACTTAGCTCATATTTAACTAATTTTGTGACTGCTTATACATGATTAGAAAATTCAGGCAATGCACATCAATGAATAAAAATTATGCACTAATGCAGATTGTATAATTCCTCATCGACATAGATAAATTATTTCTTGTAGGTATCCACAATTCTGTGTTTTTTTCTTTCTCACAAAAGAATAATTTTTAGTATATTAAGAGATGTAGATCTTAATTTATCAATAGGTTTTTAGCTAAATTGTATGAGTGCGCCTTATACTGTGTGTGTGTATACTTTACTGTAATGTTTTATACTAGGTGTATGTCACAGTATTGCCTGATATTCAGTGTGTTTAAAAAAAAAAAATGCTATTATACTGCGAAAGCACTTACGCAAGTACTTACGAACCTGTACATCTTTTCTCAATCTTTGGTGGTTTAGTTTCCAATTATTAAACAGTTAATGAGCTCCAAAGCACCAGGAGGCTGTTTATAACAATAACAACAGTTGATTGGGAAGTTTTCATGCTTGTAAACTGTTTAATAAATGTAACCAAAGCCGTCAAAGATTGAGGAAAGATGTACACGTTCGTAAGTGCTTGCGTGAATCTGTCCCCTGGTCTGTGCATAGGGTGGATTTTGGGTGACATATATTTACCGCAAAAGGGCGAGGAAGTCTGGCAAAATTGAGGCGCTGACACAGTAAGCGTCCCGCGCTGGTCTTCTCCACCCGCGCTGTCAGGCAGGAGTTGCCACAAAGATATTACCTAATTATTTCAATGTCTCTGATTTTTTTCCTCCAGTAATATTATTCAATAGTGTGTAGTGTGATATATTTATATAATGTGTGAAGTATTGCTATACTCAGAAGTATGGTGTGCATATTAGTGATTCAATTATGTTTATAAAACAATAAACAAAAAATTTTGCTGTTATTACATTACACACGCGTTATATATACAAGTATGCATGTTTTGTTTACCATAACAAACCACTAAGTTGGTATGGTGTGTCCAAACAACAAAGAATGGGTTGCCACACCTAGTCAGCAGATGCTACCTCCCTCACCAAAATGGCTCCTCCCAACATACTCCTTTTGTTGTTATTGCACTATATACACACTATATACAAGTATCTACATTTGTGTTCACCATAGCAAACCACTAAGCTGGTATGGTTAACCCAGACAATCACAGGTTGCCACACAGTCAGCAGACGACGCTACCTCCCTCCCTCCCTCACCAAGATTACTCCTCCCACTGTACTACGCACATCGCTAATTCTCACCACAATCTTGCTATTATCAGAATCCTGGTCACTAAATCCTGTAAATGAATAATTTTCCACAAGTTTATTTTGTAAAGGAACATGAACATCTTAAACAGCATTGTGTTCACTGATACCTGAACATTGTACAGTCTTTATCACAGTCGGGCTCTTCTGTAATACTATCATGGCTAAATAATAGTAGTTACATATATATTTTGACATTTTTTGGCAATGCTGTGGTCACAAACTGAACAGCAGTGATGTAAGCTCATGCTGCGTGCACCAGCCTTGGTTGCTCACTCAGTACTGAGGCTTTCACACTGGGAATGTTGCCCACTGTTTTTTTTTTTTTTTTTTTTTTTTAATGGCATCTGTTTACCAGAGCCCTAAGGAAGTTGATGTGAATCCCGTGTAGCCGCAGGACTTTTAAACCTTACGCGGTACTCCCAACCATTCATAGCTGTGGTGCGCCATCCCGCAATAGTTACTCACCTCGACTGTATATGTATTGTGCCTTTTAAGAGTTAAGGAAGAAAAATTAAATGATACTAAATACTAAATTTATTTATATGCTGTACTCTGATAATGTACATCAAAATGTGTAGAACTGTTCTCTGATCAGGGACATGTATTATCTTAATTTATAACTAAATGCTAAACTCAGTTTCTAGTAATATCTTGATAATTAACCTTTTCAGCACTCATAAACCTTGCCCCACTTCTCATAACAATAATTTTATATTCACTAGTTGGTTTCAGATAAATGTGTATAGTTACTTTTCTACACTTTCTTTAAAGTTGTCAAGCCTTGGAGTGATTTCTAATGAAGCCTTGCAATTTTCTCACTTGCCAGGCACGGTGCATTTTTTCACGAATGTTTCCAGAGGAAGAGTTCTTGCCCCGTGCTCCTGATCCAGATGAAATTGTGTTCGACAATGCTGGAGCAGTACCCAAGGAAGGAGATATTTTCGATAGCAATACACCTGATGGACAAGATGGTGATGTTAAGGGAAATCCTCAGAGCGCAGGGAAGGAAACTTGTACGGACGGAGGAAATACCTCGGCAGTAGACGAATCTGTAGCAGCAAGTGAACTCAGCTGAGAGGGGAGGTCAGGAGCTTGAAGACAACACATGTAAGATTTAATTTTGTTTCAAACACTTTAGCACCGATTGTCAGATTTAAACTTAGCCTTTTATCTGTTCCTCTACCTAGGCTGTGAGAAAATATCACATTCCATTGTCTTTGCATCTTACGGAGTAGTATGAGTAAGCATTGTCAGTCTGTGATTCCCAAATAGTCATCGGGATTTTAAGCATGCAAACTTTGTTTTGTATGGTGTGTGTTTGTTTTCTTTTACATGCATTGTGTGCATTTTGTTATTACCAACTGCCTTGAAGCTGGATGGTCATATTATTGCATTTAGCATAAGAGGATATGAACATTTTTAGCACTTTCCATTTAATCAAAGAACCACATAACTGGGTCCGCAAATCCCCTTTATATAGTCTACTGCAGACTTGACCATCAGGCCAAAGATATGGTCGGCATGTCATCATTTTGTGAGGAAGTGGTATCTGCATATGCCAGCTCACTTAAAATGTCTACTTCAATAAGGGCTGAAAATAACGTTTTATAAGCTGTTTGGTTACATTTGATACTGAATACCTAATTTATAATTTACCAGAAAGGCCTCAAAGCCTTCCAAATTCCCTAGACTTCAAAGATGGAAAAATAACACTAATTATAAGCCATTAAGGTTGTTTTCCTTGCCACACTGTACATTGGTGTCTAATGGCGAAGTTTTGATCATAAAAGTGCCTATATAGTCGTGCAATTAAACCGTTTCACTTGTCAACCATCTTTACTTGGATCATCCTGGCCACAGCTGTACCTGGTGTTACAAAGTGACCAGTGTGCAAGATACTAGTATCTGATCTTGTTTCCAAACAACAAAACTTGAAGTCAACTACAACTAAGAATAGGATAAAGGGAATATTACCTTCCTCCTCCTCCTCCCCATAGTTAACATGGGGGAATTCTTAATGCACAGTGAGACTTTAAAGCTTTAAAAATATTATTAATTTTATACTTTAAGTTATTTTGTAATTTTAATTTGTCCTTGCACTGGAAAATTGGGAAAAGTTAAATTGAACCAAATGTTTGAGAGAACTGTTTTTGGCAAATGTCAGCCCAAGCATATGTTTGAAGTATTAATAATCTTAAATGTTTGGAAGCCACCTTTCAAAAAAATGTAAATCACCTGGTTATATAAACTGTTGGTATTCCTATCCTGAGGTAGAATGCCTTGTGGAAGATTTGTAGTGCATTAGTCCCTGTGACTGGTCTTCATGTGAAGCTCCAGGTTCTCAAGAGGCTCTTCACTCTGCTCAGGGTTTTAGGTTGGAGTTACTTTAGCAAGTCATGTGAAGTAAAAAATTAGGAACCTTGATGGCAGGTGATGAGTCACAATAACGTGGCTGAAGTATGTTGACCAGACCACACACTAGAAGTTGAAGGGACGACCACGTTTTGGTCCAGAATGGTCCTTGTTATAACAATCGACTTGAGAATGGTCCAGGACGGACCGAAACGTCGTCGTCCCTTCAACTTCAAGTGTGTGGTCTGGTCAACCTTGATGGCATTTTTATAGGTTCTGCAGTACATGTTGCAGAGGTAAGATCCATGTATATTATGTCAAGAGTTACTTGATGAAGTGGTATTTGTTTCAGAGTTGGTAGACAATGAAGGATTGTAAAACTGGTTTTATAAAGAATGTAGACCAAGTTTAGCAGGGATGTAGTAACGTAATTATCTGATGTGTGTTAGCACTATCAATACTGTGTGTAGTTATTTGTGGCAGAACTGTTTCAATGACACTTTCCAGACTTGAGAGGTAGCTGTGATTACCACACCATAAGGCATTTTTTTCCAAACTACCATTATTGTTGCATAAAATGCACATAGTTAAGTTCTGTAATACCCTGTATAGGTGATCATCACAAACTTTTCCTATATTGCACTGTAAGCTTCATTGAGTAAAATGTGTGCAGATCATTAATGTACTCGGCAATCACAGGATTCCCTGTGATGTACTTTTCAGTCAAATATATATATATATATATTGAAATGTTAAATCCTTGTTTATTTTCTACACATTTAATATGGTAGCCGTATGGAAGCTGTTTAATTACAGACCCTCAACCTGTGTTTTGCACAAGACAGTTTTACCCCATCTTACCCTCTGTACTGTTATAGGGGGTGGGGAAACTTTTCTGGCTAGGTTGCATATTGGTCTTTCACTACCATTTTATCTAACACTTCCGTGCTCGTCATTACCCAAAACTATTGTCCCACACTTTGTAGTGTGTGCCAACTTTCAGGATTATTATGTCTTACTTTCCAAATGTTCCTCTGGACCATTTGTCCCTAGGTAGGTAGCAAATTCACCAATGATTCTTGCCTTGTGTCCATGTTCTCATTAGCATCTCACTTGCCTTTTGATAATTACTTTAATTATAAGCAGTCAATGCTGATAAAGATTATCACACTAATGTGGTAGGCCTACTGCATTGATTCCTGTCTTGAGGTGGTTTCAACATGGAGACGGGTGGGGGAAACACCCAGCGTCTCATCCCCTAAAAAACTTTGACAGTGTTGTGGAACTTGGAGACTTGCTGGCACCTGGTACACACTCGGATAAAGATGATTTTCCCATGCTTTGAGGAGGATCAAGAAGGCCCCTTCCTGGATAGCAGACATCACAATAAGGCAAACACACAATAGGTGGACCTCCGCCACTACTGCGAGGTAAACAATGGCCATCCTGGCCCCACGTGGTCTGTTGACAAACATCCACTAAATCAAGGTTGGCCAAATCTCCTAACTTGAAAACATTTATCATTTCATTTGGTGACCAACTACTATGGATAGGGATGTTTTCGACAACACCAGAAGACGGTATAATTTACAATGACGTTCAAAAAAATGTTAAGATTAAGGTGCACTATATTAGGCCAAACAAGCATAAGAACTTTATCGCTGTCAACTACAAACCCAACAAGGTTATCTTGAGACAAGAGAGATGATATCGGGGCTTAGCTTCCTCGCGGCCCGGTCCTCGACCAGGCCTCCTTTTTGCTACAACCCCCCCTCCCCCAGTAAGCAGCCCGTAGGAGCTGTCTAACTATCAGGTACCTATTTACTGCTAAGTAACAGGGGCATCAGGCTGAAAGAAATTTTGCCCATTTGTTTCCGCCTCCACTTGGGATCGAACCCGAACTTCAGGACTATGAATCTGAAGCGCTGTCCACTCAGCTGTCACGCCCCTGAGCTTTCTACCATTACTGAAATCCTGGGATATAAAGTACGTACTGTAGTTATGAACCATTAGACAATAGATTAAAGAAATGTATCATCGAACATTTCATCGACATTAGCGAGGAAGATATTAAAGAACTACAGGCAGATGAAATTCAAGTCTACGGAGTTGAAAAGTTTGTGTAGAATTGGAGAGCTGTGTGATACAGGCACAGCATTGCTTACGTTCCTAAATGACCCTCCACCTGATCAGGTCTGGATTAATGGCTTTTACCACAAAAAAAAGGCATACATACCACAGCCAACTCGATTCGTTAAATGTAAAGAATTCAACCATACTTCGCAAGGATGTACTAATGGTACAAGATGTGCACTCTGCTCTGGTGCCCATCAAACGAAATCATGTGAATCAGATGCTTAAATGCTCAAATTGTGGTGATGCCCATGACATTAGATCAAAACAATGCCTTTCAAACATAGCTGCCAAGACTACCCAGCACAAACATGCAATACAGTAGCATACTCAACCAACACCACCACCCAACACATTTCACATGTATCAAATGTTTCCGTCAACACTTATCCACCACCTCCAGGCAACATTACAGCCCCACCAAACACCTCGATTCAGATCTCAAACACTTCTGGCATGGATTGAGAATGTAATGGAAAAAGAGACTGTACCGGTTCTTTAATAAATTCGTGACACAGCTAGTCCAACCCATTCCCAGGACAGACTGCACACGCTCCACATCCCCAGGACTAACTCTACATCCTCGGCTACAGACTAGGCTAGTTCCAGAACTAAGAAGCATGAGTTACGAGGAAAGGCTGCACGAGATGTACCTCACGACACTGGAAGACAGAAGAGTAAGGGACGACATGATCACTACCTACATAATTCTCAAGAGGAATAACAGGGTAGATAAGGATAAACTTAATACGGGTGGTACGTGAACTTGGGGGACACAGGTGGAGACTGAGTACCCAAATGAGCCACAGGGACGTTAGAAAGAACTTTTTCAGTGTCAGAGTAGTTAATTAATTAACAGGTGGAATGCATTAGGCAGTAATGTGGTGGAGGCTGACTCCATACACAGTTTCAAATGTAGATATGATAGAGCCCAGTAGGCTCAGGAATCTGTACATCAGTTTAGAGGCGGGACCAAAGGGGCAGAGCTCAACCTCCGCAAGCACAACTAGGTAAGTACAATAATACACACAAGACTATGGAACAGATGATGGACAATAACCTAACTAAATACAGGTACATGTATCTAGAAAACACACAAACCACCCCTCCTGTTGGCCACACCACCACCATTCTCACTAAAGGCAAAAACAAAACAGTTGGTGGATCGAACCCTCAGTGCTCTAGCACTCAGGCTGACTGACCACAATCTGCCACGACACACTACATCCAGGTATCCAATACATACTATTGGCATGCCAAGGAAACCAGATGCATCCATAACCCAAAGATCTTAAATGACTCCCCTAACCTTCATGACTTGGAACACACAAAGCATTAAAACATCCCTCACAGAACTTAATTCCTTTACTCATCAAAACCGATCCTGGCTCCGAAACAATTCTATTTTAAAAAATGTTCATGTGCAGAAACTGTGTCGACAGACCTCATTCTACTGGGGCAGGGAGGGGGGGGGAGGCATTTTCCTCTTAACACAAAGTAATATGACATGTAAACCTGCAACATTTACTCATTTTGTGAATGGTAAACTAGAACCTTTAGCCTGCTTGGTATATGCTTCTTTTCTGGGTATGTACAACCCTGGTGGCACAAACTTAAATGAACTGGATTTTTATCTTGGCCAATTATGACACCCGATCATTGTCACAGGCAATCTCGAAACTACCTACGTCACATGGAGTAGAGGTACCCTGAACACTGCAGGCACCAATCAATACAACTACTTTGACACTGCACCCTGTATTCTTCTTTTGCCACCCTTTCCCGCTTCATGCGGGTCCTCATTCAACATTCTTTTCCCCCATCCCATCCCAAATCCTTATCCTGACCCCATCCTAGTGTTATATAGTTGTAATGGCTTGGTGCTTTCCACTGATTGGAAAGTTTCTAATTGACAGTTTCACACTGGACAAGATATTGGTAGTGACCACAAACTCATCGTTATAAAATTGACTAACCTTTCAGACACCAACCCATCCCCTAACACCAAGTGGAACATTAACCACTGTGCTGCACCAACTGAGAAAACTTATCGGTGGGCAACTGCGGCAACCAAGAAAACACATTTTGAATATTTCGTACCATTCAAGATCTGCGCACGGTAAGTTGTGTACGAAATGGATTCTTGGGACCTCCAGTGAGAGGCAGCCATCTTGGAAAAAATTCCCAGAATGTCCTAAGGCTGTGAGCTGGGTTAGTTCCGAGTGAGCAACCACGGGATAGCGTACGTGCCTCTGGCTCCCAAACGCCTGTCTGATGTGGTGTTTAAAGATTGCTCTGTCGGTGAAATTCAGACCTTATCGTTTGAAGAACATATGGGTCATGATAATGATAAAGCTAGGCACAATAAGGACCTAACTAAAGGGTCGGATGCAAGCGATACAGCTTCGATGAGGACGATAAAGCAAGTGTATCCAGTTGTAGCTCTGAGTGCCACCCTTGCCCACTCATGCCATCTCCAATTTTTATAGGTGATACATAGATGAATAGTTTTCTAGGTTCAGTGATGATGCCTCTGATACAAATAGCATAGATAAGCAGTGTTAGTGGCTTCCATGGTGTTTTCCATAGATATTTTCAAGGATGGCTGAATATCTTCCAATGAGGGACCTTACCAAGTGATCTTTTCAAGACTACCTTACAAATTGATCTTTTCCTATAATCTTTTCAAAACTACCTTGTTTCACAAGCTTGGCTACATATCACCTACAGGTATTAAAGCCAAGGGTGTACGTGAGAGCATTTTGCAAGCACACCCCCCCTCCCTGTCCAGCTCGTTGCTGCTGTGAGGGGGTTTGGTGGGCGGCTGCCGGTGTGTGATGCTCCTTGGGGCAGTCCCCCTGTCCTTTTGTAGCCTTGTACTCCTGCTGCTGTCCTCACAAATTTTGCTGGATGCCTTTTCATTTTGTTTTGTTTTTCTCCCCCCCCCCCCCTCTCTCCTTTCTCGTTGTCATTTCCTGCTGACCTTGTGCCTGTTTTGATCATTCTTTTGTTTTGACGCCCGGGTGTTTGAGGAGGCATACTCTTGCACCCATAGAACTGTAGTACCCAATGTCTCGAGCGAGGGGAACCTTTTATTGTCAATCCTCCTTTCGTCACTGAACCCGATCTCGACAGACTGACGGTTCTTATGGTGGCGTTTGTGGGGCGTATACTCACGACGCACCCCTAGGGGGCCCCGGCTTGATCGGCGATAGCTTCTTGTTGGGTGTCCTGCCTCTAATTGTGGCTCCATGGTGGGTGTGGGGGGCATATTCGTGAATGAGAGTTTCATTTCATATCTATGTTGATAAATGTTCCTCTTGTACCCTCTCAGGCTCATGGGGTGGGCGACCAAGCCCCCGAGTCGGACTGTATTGGAAGACCGGGCTCTGTAGCCCCCGCTGCATTGGGCCCCGATCTTGCTCCTCCTTTGACCCTCCTGACTACTCCCCTCGGCTCCCCTCCCTCCTCTGTGGTTGGGTCGAGCCCCAAGCCCCCCAGTGGTGACCACCTCGTCCCCTGGCACGACTCAGTCTCTAGTTGTGACTACTGTGCCTTTTAACCCCTTTCTATGGGTTCTCAACGCCGTCCTCGAGACGGCCGCACTCGCTCGATTCCTTCCCG